AATGTGAAAAGAAAGCATGCACCAGAAATTGAAGACGGCAAAGAAATGTCCCCAATGAAAACACAGAAAAGTAATTTTACCGAATTACAAATTTATATGAAAATATTATACTTTTGATTATCTTGCGTATAGTAAAAGTTTAAGTTTTTATTTTAAATAAATGATGATTAAAGCGGACATTTCAGTTTGCGGAAATATTTTCTTTTCAAAATCAAATTATAAATCATATTGGTGGGATTTGTTAATAGCCTCAAGTTTTCTTTTCCTTAAAATGGTAAGAAATAAACAAGTTTGGTTTACAGATTTGCCAAGTATAAGGGTCATTTATGATGGCGGGTTGAGTAAACGGTCCCACAAACACACCTACATCGCATTATGAGGTGTTGCTGTAATCATCGGCGCCAAAATTTTTTTTATTAAATATCGGTATCAGAACAAATATTGTTATATTTGTAACAGAGCAGCTACATAAGACACTGAACCGTCACACGACATATGTTATAAGAACTTGAATGAGTCGATTCAGGCCATGGAAAGGGTATAATTATCGAAGGCTTCATTAAAGCCAATGATCACGGCGTCAAATACATGGCGATAATAGGTGATGGAGAATCTTCCGTTGTGGCTACGATAACGAAAAAGGTTCCTGTTTGGGGTCACCACGTAAAAAAATTTAATGTTCTAACGATTGCTTTAGATCTAACCTAGTAAAACTTGTTGATAACTCAATTTTTAACGGAAAAAGGAGAATTACTGGTGCTGTTCGCTGCGTGATCATAATGAGATCACAAGAACCAGACAGAAAATATGCTAGCAAGAAATCTAACCCTGATAAACAAAATTCGTTAAATCATTTAATATATGGAGATCATTCCAACTGTAAAAACACTGGCAATGAAAATATACTAATTTTGAAAACTGGTGAAGAAAAAATCATCTCTTTAGAATCAGATATGAAATTGAATAACAGATTGATATTTGGACAGAGGGGGCAAATGTTGAAGAGCAGATAGAAGAGCATTATATATAGATACCGAAATGCGCGAAGACATAGCCATCCTGCTAAGCAATATTGTCAAAAAGTCATCCATCCAACCTTGCGAACAAAATTTGATGGTGGTAAAATGTATAACCGCTGTGACAGTGGTTCATAGCACACTAGATGCTATGGTGCAGTTCTTAAATAAATAGTAAATTAATCATGAATAATTTTGGTCCTTTATGGTCACCAAAAGAATGGGAATTTAGTACCTATTCCACCAGTGGTCTTTATTAAAAAAAAATTGTACAACACCAGAGAGAGAAATATGAATGTCAAAAATACCTCCAAATCCAAACAAGAAATAAAACAAAATAAATAGATGCGAATAATGAAAGCATCGAAGGAAGCAACATCACGTAAAGCCAAAACACAGTATGGGAAAGAATGTATACAGGTTGATAATGACATACCACCTCAACAATTAGAAACCATCTAGTAGCAATATTATAAAACAGAAATAGATATAAAACCATCTGAAATAAAGAAAATTGAAACCAACGCTTCACCTCAAAGTATCTCCGGAAAATGGACAGAACAGCGTAAATAACGTTCAACCTCCTCAAATTTTGACCGCAGTATTAAAAGGATGCGAAGTTACCTTTCACTACACTCATTTCTTCTCTCTTTTATTGTACATTTTCTAGGAATAAAGCAACACTTTTTGGACTGAGAAAAGAAAGAGTAACTATTATGGAATACATTCAGAACGGTATGTAAACTGTTCTTTGAGTTCAAAGCTAGATGCTGGCAGGCTTCTTTTCTTTTTTCTTCTTCATACTATAAAAATATTTATTTTATCCACTATTTTTAAGGTTCATGTGAACCTTTTGACTAAAATGGCAGCGTTTTCACCTCAAAATTTACTTTCGAGTTCAGACAAATCTGGAAAGTTTTAATGCATAGAATGCCCTCGATAAATAAAATTCAAATGCATCTTATGTTTTAGAAAATTAAAAACTGAACTGGATTTGCAGTTCACTTTTTCTCGTTCCTACAGAAGGTGACAATATAAACAAAGTACGAAAAGAAGTATTGATTGATATGAAAATTAGAGGGATAATAGATATATCACAATAATTGATGGTTTTAATTGTGTTACTGAATGAACCATATCAAGTGCAACTCAACTGTTTGTTAATTTTATCATCTTCCACAGGGATGAAAAAAGTGACCACTTCTATAGACCTGTGCATTACGAAATTTTCAATATGCAATAATATCAAAACAGCAAAAATACTGAATACAACAAACGTACCATTTTGTACATATACCAAATGGAAACGTCGTTGACAGCAATAATATTTATTGTATCATTGCATTAAATAGAAAATGTGGATTTTGTGGCAAGTCAAGCCAAGAATTTTACAGAAAATCCACAGAATTTATAACGTTTTAAACATTTTTTGTCCATGTTGTGTTAGCATATATTATTTACACAAAGTCCTAAACAACCTTGACCATAAAAAAACTCGTGCTTAGTCACTAAAGTCGAGCACACCCTTGAAGGTGTGCTTGAATAGATCCATATTTATACTTATTGCAACTTGCATCGTTGTTTTAAAACTTGTTTAGGGAAATCATTGCTAGCACTGCATTCAGTAATCCTCTATCTATTATGTACCTAACTGTCAAATATTATAGTACAGCAGGAAAGGCTTATCATGAATTTTATTACAATAAATGGTGGTTAATTCTTTTTGATACAATACATACATATCTTTGAATAATGTTTTTATTTGTATGAATATTGATTTTGTTATCATTAAACTAAAACCATACTAAAGATTATTGTAATACACATATGCACTTTCACGGTACTACAATATGTCGATACCTATAGTTTTGCATTGCGCAAGGTCATGTTTTTCTCTGACTGTTAATGACGTCTTTACAATAACTCCATTGGATGTTGGATGGCTACTGATTGGTATTTTAGTCTTAGATACCTGATTTTATTGTATTAGTTGTTATTGGCTTTGACCTAACTGTCAGTAACTGCGAGTACGTGCTCTCAGATCTGTACTGTGTGTCTTTTATTGTTGTTAGGGATGTATAAATACCCTGTCACGTCCGGTCTATGTTTTTCTGCTTTGTTTCGATCTGATGAGTTTAGCCCTTTTCAATTGATTTTTATAGTTTGTTATTATGTTGTGCTGTAAAACCACTGTCCTAGGTTAGGAGGAGGGTTGAGCGCTTACAAACATGTTTCACCCCACCACATTTTTAATGTACTTGTCCTAAGTCAGGAGTCCGTAGTTCAGTGGTTGTCGTTGGTTCATGTCTGTCATATTTGTTTTTCGTAAATTGTTTTAAGCCGTTAGTTTTCTGAATTAAACTGTTTCATATTTTTCATGTCGAGGCTTTTTATAGCCGACTATACGGTATGGGTTTTTCTCATTGTTGAAGGTCATACGGCTGCCTATAAATGCTTACATCCACTTCATTTGAACTTTGATGGATAGTTGTCTCATTGGCATCATATCACATCTCCTAATTTTTAAATGTCATACTTTATTGTGTGTGTCTCTATACCAATGTAATATGGTTACAACTGATTGACCTTAATTTTATAAAGCAATGCAATAAATTACAATATATTATATGTGTTATTAGAAAACAAACAAAATTCCGTGAAAACCTGCTCAGTAAGGTACAAAATGTAAGCATTGGCTAATTCCTGTCAAAGTCCATCCAAGTTTGTTTTATTTTTACATAGAATGAGATTCTATTTGAACAAAGTCCATCAAAGTTTTTGATAAAACATTTCTTTGGCGGTTGTTCTTTTTGAAAATTTGAACAAGTTATCTTGGTTAACCAAAACTTTGATAGTGGCAACGGGCCTTAACTTTGTATGAATAATTACAACATCTGAACTTTGCATAATGGTGCTTGTTAATCCGATATGAATACAAAATTGTTTTCTTCGTCTTTTATAAAGGCATCATTGTAAAAGAACTGTGATTTTATTTCAACGTGAAAATCCGTTGTTTCTGTTGTTTCTTCTCTGCAAATTGTTTCCTCTGTGTCAAGTTGCGATTGTACTTCATCATTGACTTCATTTGAATCATCCTTTAAAAAATTAAAAACAAATTTCAGTTTTAACAACAAAACTTTTCAATATAAGATGATAACCCCAATGTTGTATGTGAGCTTGGAATTAAGTTTTTAATTGATCAACGACCTATATCCATAAAATTTACATGTAATTGATAAATTCCGTTTTCGTGATGTTACAAACTCTGAAATATACATTATTTTTATACAAAAATAAATATATGAGAGTATAGTTTAGGAATTGTAAGCAGTAATGATATTGCAAAATAAACAATGTAGAATCCTACTGCAATAATGATTTAAACCATTAAGTTAAAGAATGGTTTAGATATACACTTAAAGCATACAAAAGAGCAGTGTGCGTGGACCTTGCAAATAAAAAGAATGAATTATGTATGTAGTAATTGTTTAGATTAATTATTTACAACAACAATCCTTTTCATCGTCATAAAAATAATCAGGAAAATTCAATACTTACTGTGCATGTGTTCTTCAGACATTCGTCTTCACAATCCGAAAGTATCGTATTCGTTGGTACCAGGATAACATCATATTCATAAGGAAAAATTCCATTTCGCGATTTAATAGTAATTTTTATAATATTTAAGAACTCAAGTGTTTATCTATTTCATCCATTATTTCGTAAAATTTCATTTTTGCATTTCAAAGATGATACTATTCTAGGATTTTTTTACGTACGGTCCCCTTAAATTCAAAATATATACCGACAGCAATCATTTCATTTCTGGATATTTAAATGGGGAATTAATACACAATATAAGGATTATTCACGAAATAAAAAATCAATACTGAATGAGATGCGGTAATACATATATAGTATGGGTAAAACAAGCGTATAATAGCATGTTAGGATTAGGAAACATAAAATGCAGAATTATATGAATGTTACAACATTAAACTTTATTGTGCTGTTTTCAAATGTTAACAAATTAAACAATCCATTCCATATGGTTCATGTCTATAATGTATACTTCATTTGCTGTCAAGTGGGAAAGTCTAAGTGATACGCAACGTTATATAACAATAAAATATATTGAATTGATAAATATTCGGAAGATAAGCGTCCTGATTATTGTAATTTCGTTAATGCAATGCTACAGTTCTTTGTGTAAAGACACGAACTTTCTCTTGACGCTTTTTTATCAAAGTGCTGTATTTTCGTCTCTTGTTAGCAAAGGTTTGGTAACAACGACTATGTCTTTTTGACCAAGTACCTTGACATAAAACATTCCTTCCCTTTGTTTGAACATTTCTTCTTTAGCTATTTTTGCTACTCTACAGCTAAGGATTGATGATAGTATACAAACAAGACATTCTGTTCCCGCTACAGCCAAGGCTATCAGTATTAAAATGTCTTTGTTTTCTTTCTGAAAAGTGTGTCCATCTGTCGTATGGTTCACTAGTCCTAGACGAAGAAGCTGAATACTGACCACGGCTGTAACTATGGATACCACAGACAGTGCTATAAAGCTCATGATCTAAAAGAAACAATCCAAAATTTAAAGGTGATATGGGTTTCAATAGCATCAAGTTAAGGAGAACGAAATCAGGGATATATATATGTACGATAAAATTGATTGAACTGTATTCATTCTTTGCCAAAATGAAGATTTTTTTTAACGTGACTGTTCTATAAAATATTAGTAAAAAGTATACAAGTTCTCAATCTTGTTTCTAAGTTAGTGGATATAAATGAGTATCCTTTCTTTGGAGAGAATATAATGGGGAATGTAAAAAAAAAATGAAAATTAGATGACAGAATTTTGTAATTAAGTTGAGGAGGTAGGTTTATTGACTACGATCTCGTTTACTTGTTACAAAAAAAGCAAGTTTTCAAGTAATTATCCATGAAATCTTAGTTTTTATATTTTTCTAAATTTTTTATAATTCAAACAATTACATTAAATAGGAAAGTTAACAATAAGTTGAAACATTTCGATATAAATAAAAAAAAATATACGTCTGAAATATATTAAGGTTTACATATTTAGTAAAAATTCTTTACCGACCATTTGTGAAACCCTAATATTAGGACTCCCGAACCATCTTAAATATATACGGATTATAAAATCTCCAAATTATGTTTTTTGTATGGGTTTGAACAAATTATGTATCATTATACCTTTTAGGTAGAGAAAACAAACATTCTTTTAGAGTTTCTTGTCGATTCAAGTATTCAGATTATCAATTCTACAATCTTTCTATTGTGAAATATCATTTAAAGATGATATCAGTTCCAAAATAACGAATAAATCAAATTATGTTACCACAATAACCCCTTAACTATCCAACCAAAAGGGGTCCTCGATGGCCTAGTTATCTACTGTATCACTAGCCTGTCAACACTGAGGTTGTGAGTTCGAACCCTGCAAGTGGCATGTGTGTTCGACTCCAATTTTAACTGACTAGAATTGCAAGTTTTCCTGCCGAAGGTCGGGGGTTTTCTTTGTATATTTTTAACCTTTACTGTTTAGTTCATTTTTGGTGATATACTTTAGGCGTGGCTCGGTATTTATACATCCCGCCATTGTGTTATTGTGCTATGGTCATTTTTGTATTCTTGTCTTTCATTTTTGCTTATGTACTTTGTCTATAGAGTGTCAATATGCAATTTTATTTTTCTTTGTTGAAATAGTTATTTGTTTTTATACTGATTAAGATTATAACACAATGTTGACTGCTGACCAGGTTTAATCCACCATTTTCTACATTAGAAATGCCTGTACCAAGTCAGGAATATGACAGTTGTTTTCCATTCGTTTGATATGTTTGAGCTTTTGATTTTGTCATTTGATAAAGGACTTTCCGTTTTAAATTTTCATTGGAGTTCGGTATTTTTGTTCTTTTACTTTTTTCTCACTGGGCCTCCCGGCTTCCTCCACCAATGAAAACTGACCTCAACGAAATAGTCAATAGTGCTGAAATTGGTGTTAACCACCAAATATCGATCAAACATCAACGATCAATCCAACCCAAAAAAATGTTTACCTAGTCTATAGATTTTCTAGGCTTTCTAAACAACAGATAGGTTCGATCTATTCCGACAAATGAGATAGTAACCGTTTGGCCTTCAAATTGTGATAGATAACCCTTTATACATAATATGTTTAGTGTCTTGTCATGTTTATCATTCGATGTTCATTTGATTCGGTGAAAGCGAAAGGAATCGCTAAAACATTAGTTGTCGCCTGACTGTACCTCTCATTTAGATATATGTTTCCCCTACTGTTATCTTTGAAGATATTATTTCGTGAAAATGTATTCTAACGCCTTCGTCATTGAAGCTTGAGTTTATGTTCAAGTAGACAGTGTTTTTGGTGAATTTTATATATTACACGATAAAACATGACCTTACCACGTATGATGATTTTCTTTTAGCACATAAAATCCCTATAATTCCTGTTATAATGAACTGAAATAGAGAGGAAAATATTGTTTAATATGCATAAATTTTATGAGTGAAAACGTGAAAATTTGCAACGGTTTTTATGTTTTTAATGCATCTTCAATATTTGTTGTATAGGATTCACAAACATGCTGGCAATATTATTTAAGGAAGTACAATATCGCAGTTTTATTGTTTAGATAGGATGTGTCAATGCATGACATAATTATATACCCACTTCACATAACCCAAAGTTAACGTTTACGTTAAACCAAACATTTTTTTTTTATTTCTTTTTGGGGGGAGGGGCGGGGTTGCTTGTTGTTTGTTACAATACATAATATTAGAAGTTTCGATTTACTTTAAATGCATACTTACAAACCCTCCGCTCCATATTGGGGAAACACTGTGTGCAAGCCACACTTCTGAACGAATACTTGACACTACCCCTAAACAAACACTGAGAATTCCCAAAAATATGTGAACACCAGATATAATGTAAACTGCAGTCAACACAGCTCTCAGCATTTTCACCTGTCTATATCTTCAATTCATTGATAAGATTCATGTTGTTCTGAAAAGCACAATTAGTATAAGTTTAAAACAGATTGCCTATTTTTAATAGATCTTTTGTTGGCATGCTGAAAATAATGAAAAAATACGTACAATTAAACTGCATAAATCCTCATAACAAGATGTGAAAATACTTTATTTTGGCCTTTGAAGTTCAAACATTCAGCAAACAAAAGTATTAGGTGTGTGCTTTAAATGAAATAAGCAAAACAAGATTGTTTGCAACGATTCAATACCTATACTCTAAAGTTAACCCATAAAAACTCGACCTTCCTTCTCATTCCTCATTCTGACCTTTACATTGAGAATCTGTAGTTAAAAAAATAGCTAGCTGAGCACATATAGAATTGTCGATACTATTAAGTGTATTCGTCACAGTCACATTTAATTTAGAAAAAACGTAATGCCTACTTTCACTTACCTCATAGAAATACCTTATACCGGTATCTGTAGTGATATTTATAATTCAAGAACACAAGTTTCTACCAGTGTAATCTACGTCATCGCCCTGTCATAAAATTTCCGTTTTGGAACCGATCAATCAAGTATTGATAATATGCTTGCAGACTCTTGTCAGTTTATATTCTACAAACTCGATCGATGAAACCACGCTAGGAATAGTCGATAATGTTGTGTAGAAAAGAAATGTTAACGGTATAGGAATATATAAATGATAAAAAAAAATAAGAAATCGAAAATCAGTGTTAATATTTATAGTGTTATCTACTTCAAAATTAATAGATCAGGTGTAGAATCTATAAAAAAAAAAAATGGTTCGTGATTTTTTACTGTTTAAGTCACATTTTTTCTTTAATATCATCAAGTCGGTTACATGGTAATTGATAATCAATGTTCCTTAGAAATGATCTTTCTGGTTAAGTAGCATTTTCAAGGTTGGTGGGTTTTAATCTTTAAAATTTGTAAATCAAAGAAAAATTAAGTTCTCCGAGGCCTTTAACGATTATTACGTCACAGTCATTCCTTTGATTTGACAATATATTTCTACGGTTTGTGGCCTTTTTTTTTTACAGAAAACTGTTAGCACTTAATATGCATATGCTAACTTGCACCAGATGAGACTGGATATGTACCCTGCATCGTCCTGTTTGTGTTTTTGTTTGATGTTTTTCTTTGTATCGATCTGATGAAATAAGCCTTTTCGACTGATTTTTATTGTTTGTTGTCTTATGTTGTGCTGTTACACCACTGTCCCAGGTTAAGGGAGGGTTGAGCGCTCACAAACATGTTTAACCCGCCACATTCTTTATGTGCATGTCCCAAGTCAGGAGCCTGTAGTTCAGTGGTTGTTGTTGGTTCATGTCTGTCATATTTGTTTTTCGTAAATAGTTTTGTTATAAATTAGGCCGTTAGTTTTTTCAATTGAACTGTTTCATATGTTTCATGTCAGGGCCTTTTATAGACGGCTATACGGTATGAGTTTTTTCTCATTATTGAAGGCCGTACGGTTGCCTATTATTGCTTACATCCGTTTCATTTGAACTTTGGTGGATAGTTGTCTAATTGGCAATCATACCACATCTCCTTATGTTTATACTGCTATATAGATAATGTACTTTACTAACGAGACATCAATAGTTCCGCGGAACTATAGAAAGATATGCATGCTTGATATTTTAACATATATCTATATGTCCACACACTGGCAAGTTACACGAAAATTTGTATGACATATGTAATCACTTCAACTTTCTAACCGTAAATTGTATTTGACTGTATGTATTTGTATCAACATTCCAGTAATACAAGGATGCTTATACCCCCAACTTCTCCCGAATTGCTCCCCTATCGAATGTTCTGTTGGTATATATGGTTGTGTTTCGGGAAATAACATTCTTTTAGAGTAAGGCTGAAGTCCTTGTTCTCAATATCTTATGTAATGTCACAATCAACATGGTTTAACATGTTAAAGAATATTTGAAGTATGATAAAAGTGTGTCTACTAAACAAATTTGGAATAAGCAGTAAAAAAATCGTGATAAAATTTGATATTTATAAACAAAGAAATTCATTAATTAACAGTAGAAAATAAGGATATGAGCCACTTCAAAAATAATGAAACATCTAAAATTGAAGATCTGTGTGATAATTTAAAACTAAAATATCATGTAGCCGATGATAAGCATCAAACTGTAAATAAAGCGTCTACTGCAAGCAAAATATAAATTTATATTTAGCGGAACCATGCAGACCACAAATTTGTAAACTTTGAAAAATTTGGTGAGCTGAACATAGATCCAAGCGGGGATCCAAATTCTTAAAATGAGAAAAAAAAACTAGTTTTAGTCCTGAAACGGTTAGGCAAGCTATTCCAGAGTGAAGCGGCTGCATATCTGAATGAACTCTTATCGTGTGTACTAGTTCTTATCTTCTAATCTGTGGTATGTCCAGAATGCTTTAAATTGTGTTTTAAGTCATTGAGATTGACTAAGTCACTCAAACACACTGGAATCTTATCGTTAAGGATTGTGTAGGCTCAAGTGCCATTATTCTGATTCTTCTGCATAGTTGCAACATTTGTCATGATCCAGGTTTCATATGATGAGGTATAATCCTCAATTACAAAACGAAGTGCTCTCTCCTGCACTTTATTTTAACTTCTTGAGTCAGTATATTCAGACACAATTTTCAATGCATTACAGCATAGATAAAGATTTAAAAAACTATTTTACATTTTGTTTTGAAAAAAAAACTGTATACTTTTTCGCTATTCTAACATCAGCACTTAAGTCTTGCGTAAGACCCTGCAGAGACGCTTTGAAACACCTTAGATGTTGAGTAACTAATATATTCCTTAGACAAGGCATATGCTTTTGACTGATCTCAGGATTGATATAAGGATACCTACTTTATCATTTAAACCAGAGACATATATATGTCACTGTTTAAACCTTATATATATTTTTTAAAGAATTATACACAAAGTAAAAAAAAAAAACTGACGTAGGCCTACTCAAAGTTGAAATACCCCCCTTTTCGTGCAAGGTCAGATAGTAGGCATAGTATATTTGGCAATACCATCACTTTATGGAATCTAATTAAGTTTAGTTTAAACATATTTTATTTACTCAAAGTAAAATGGATTGGACACAAGTAAACCATACTTTTATTATGAAGTCCGCTCCGAATAACAATAAATAACAATGCAATATTGATATGAGCATGCAATAATTCAGAATATACAATACTTTACGATTCTATCCATTGAAAAAAGATGACACAATAATAACGGAAAAATTGGTAATGATGATGATGATGATGTAAATGTACCGTAAAAAGTAAAATCACAAAAATACCGAACTCCGAGGAAAATTCAATCGGAAAGTCTCTAATCACATGGCAAAATCAAATGTCAAAACACATCAAACGAATGGACAACAACTGTCATATTCCTGACTTGGTACAGGCATTTTCAAATGTAGAAAATGGTGGATTGAACCTGGTTTTATAGCGCTAAACCTCTCACTTGTACGACAGTCTCATCAAATTCCGTTATATTTACAACGATGCGTGAACAAAATAGACATTATAAATAAAATGGTCAAAATATGGGCACAGCAGTCATCACTGTGTAACTTGGCAATATCAAAACAAACAATTATTTACAAAAAAGCACAAAAGCATCTATCAAATTAAAAACCACATTCATTGCTTCGCGTGTCTGACGTCAGAAAATGTAAACGTCACATAAGAAGAAATTTTGTCATTCAATGTTTATTCAAAACAATTTTATAATTTCAAATGGGGAATGTTGGTATACAGGGTTAAAAAATCAAAAGTTATGTTAGAGATACACTATTCAGTATCATATAACAAGAAATCTCTCAGACCTTTTAATAAACTCGAATACATGTTAAAATATATGGACGTTTTGTTCATTCGAGAGGTTCGGATTACCAGATGTTAGTAACTTAACATTCAATATAAGTTCATCAGGGAGCCATCTTAGATTGTTCATCAGAATTCCTCTCTGAGCTGTATATAAAGAACAGTCGAAAAGGACATGGTGTACAGTCTCAATGTTACATCCACAAAGACAAGATGGGTCAGCAATTATATTGACTCTGAAAAGTCATAGTTAAAGAAAGATGAGTAGCATCCGGCTTAATCTGTTGTGTTGGAATTGTATTTAGTTTCCTGGGTCCATATAAATAGTACTTATGTACATCTTTATTTATAGTATTAATTTAGCTTTTTTAATTGGATTTTAAATTTTGAGATAGAGTCTGATTTTCGAAGGGACAAATCGGTCACATGATGATTCCATAGTCTTATAGTTGATGGTATTTAAAAGATTCTATAGTAAGGGATAATCTACAAAAAGGAACAATGATATCATTGCCATTTCAAGTTTATTAGCATATCTTATCCAAATTATCCCAAACCTCAGTTGCATATTCAAAAATTGGTCTTATAAATACTAAATAGAGTTTATCTAATTTTTTCCTACAAAGTTGGTACTTGAGTTTTCTCACTATATTTAAATGTTTCGTAACACTAATTATCAGATTGTCTTTATGGCTATTCCATCTAGCATCAGAGCAAAACGTTACCACAAGGTCACGGTTTGTGGCATTTTGTAATAGGGATTTCTTTATCTTTTTAAGCAGAATTTTAGATCTGGTGCGTCATTATTTGAAAAAATCATTATTTCTGTGTTGTCTGGATTAAAAGACATTAGCCACCTTCTTGACCATTTGTTCAGCTCCTCGATGTCACGATCAATAACAGTTTTTATATGTCATTCGTCGTGCTTCGAGTAATTAAGCGAAATGTCATTCGCATAGAGTCTGGTTAGAGATGTGAGTATCTCTGCAATGTCATTCGTCAGGGGGGGCCCTTTTGTGGGAAAAATTTGGTTGATTATAGGGAATCACTGAAGCATGACTGGAGCCCCACCCCCCTTATGAAAAGTTCTAGATCCGCCACTGGTTATCTCACTGCTGATCGTCTAAAATTTAAATTAACGTTTTATTAAATTAATTTTCGGATGACAAGGGAGGAAACTTGACAGATACTGATTTTGATTATCTCCCTTGATACAACTATTAACCAAAATTTAGTGCCGACAGACAGTTCTAGTGTAGTCCAACTGTGGCGTGCAATGTGATGCAATTATTGAAGGCAAATTTGTAAGTCGGTATTAACAGATACAGTCATATTCTATCCTTTAGATAATCTCCATTTGTTGATTTTTGTCCGATCTTTCATACTGTCATACGCATAACCATACCATGTATACATTAATTTTTTTTCCACGAACAATTAAAAACTGGAACAGCCTTCCTCTGAGTATTGTGATGAGCGACTCTATAGAGTCGTTCAAAGCAGCTGTCTCAATCTACACCTACAGTCGGTAAATTTATCATGTGTAAATAGTTTTATCTTAAGTTAATATTAAAAAATAAATAAAATAAAAATATGGTATCAGGATCCGTTTGCGCCCAATACACGTACACACCCTTCAGGTTCGCACCCAACATGTTCGCCCCTCTTTTATCCGTAAGCACCCTATACGTTCACACACTTTTTTTTTTATTCAAAAACCTGATGAATTAGATGTTTTTTAGATGTTTATATCAAAATATTTTTATTTTCATAAATAAAAATTCGGGAATTTTTAAGTGAAATATTGTTTTAAATTGATTTGATGATTAATTGTTATATGTTAATTATGTATGATTTACAGGCAGTATTTCTATAATTGGCAGATATTAAAATATTTGGTCACTGATCCTTTATCCATAGTATATCAAAACACATTAGTAACCCTCTTTTCATTGATAAATTAGATGATTTAAAACTGAGACTATGGTGTGGAAACAACCATTTGGATCCCAATTATTGTCACATTAACCTATTATGTCTGTTTGGGTTGACAATATAATGGAACTATAAACAACTGTCATACAGGTTGGAGGTTTAGCTAGCTGTGAAACCAGGTCTAACCCATCATTTTCTTCAGAAAATGTCTGTACCAAGTAAGGAACATATGGCAGTTGTATTTCACTTGTTCAGTTGCTTGATGGTAGCAAGTCATTTCGTACCCAAAATTAACATTTCGTACCCAACATTTACCATTTCGTACCCCTGATGAAAACCATTTTGTACCCTATGGGCCAACTGCATTAACCATTTTGTACCTCATAGATAAATACATGTTTACTATTTGGTTTCCATTCAAGAAAATATATAACACTGTTATTATTTTTTTTTTTTAAATAAATAGGTAAAATATGTAATCATGGTAATAAAACCTTTTGAGATAATTGAATTTAATTCTGGAATACAATAATAGTTATAGTAGTCTCAGTTTAATTAAAAAAATGTTATAACATAAATAAAATGCTTCCAGCATTAGAACATTTCTAAAGACCTATGAATGGTTGAATTAAGCAATACATGGAAACTTTTGGATAGTTTTAATCACACTTTGTTTGCAGGGTTTATCCTTAACTAATTTTTCAGCTCTTAAAATATGAGGTTAATTAACAAACAAAGAAATTAATGTCTGCAACTGTTTATCTAGTTATTATCAGCTGTTTTGTCATGAAATGCAGTGAAATGGGATATTCACTTAAGAAGAAAGCCACGAATAAAAATGTTTGTATACAAATTTGCGCCTTATGTGACCAATTAAAGAACTTGCTATGGCTTTTTCAATTTGAGAAAAATCTTACGAAATGGCATACATATCATGCATATACAAGATAAATCTTCCGTGAGGTATGAAATGGCACACAATATAAATTTTCCGTGAGGTACGAAATGGTATACATATAAATATTCCATGAGGTACAAAATAACACATATAAATCTTCCGTGAGTTACGATATGGTATACATATAAATATTCCATAAGGTACGAAAATTGCATACAAATACATTTTTTCGTGAATTACGAAATGGCACACACATAAATCTTCTGTGAGGTACGAAATGGTACACATATAAATCTTCTGTGAGGTACGAAATGGTACACATATAAATCTTCTGTGAGGTATGAAATGGCATACATAGACAAGTAAATGTTCCGTGAGGTATGAAATGGCACACAATATAAATCTTCCGTGAGGTATGAAATGGTATACATATAAATATTCTATGAGGTAAGAAATGGCACACATATAAATCTTCTGTGAGGTACGAAATGGTATACATATAAATATTCCATTAGGTACGAAATGGCATACATGTAAATATTTCTTGAGGTACAAAATGGTCAAGGTACGAAAAGGTCAGGGTATGAAATGGTTTTTGTAAGGGTACGAAATGGGGGGTATGAAATGGTTAGGGTACGAAATGACTATAATTCTGCTTGATAGCTTACTTTTTCTCATTTTTTATGGACTTACCCTATTTATACGACCGCAAAAAAATTGCGTTCGTATAATGCTATTATGTCGTCGTCGTCATCCGAAGACACATTTGGTTTCCAAATAAAATCTTTAGTTTAAATGAATGGATCTCTATGAAATTTTACCAGAAGGTTCAATACCACAAAAGGAAGGTTTGATTAATTTTTTGGGATTATGGTACAAACAGTTTAGGAATTAGGGGCCAAAAACAAGCATTTTGTAGTTTCTGGACAATAACTTGTGTTAAGTGTATTGATCTCTCTGAAATTGTACCACAAGGTTCCATATCACAAAGGGAAGGCTGGGATTGAGTTTTGGGGAAATTGCCTCAAACGTTCAGGAATGAGGGCCAAAAAGGGGGCCAAAAACAAGCATTTTTCTAGTTTCCAGACAATAACTTGTGTTTAAGTGTATGGATCACTATGAAATTGTACTACAACGTTCCATACCACAAAGGGAAGACTGGGATTGAGTTTGGGGGTAATTACTCCAAGGGGGGGATTCAAAAAGTTTGGGGGGGATTTTTTAAGGTTTAAGTTTTTTTTATTCAAAATTTTTTAAATACCAAATTATTTTTTCAATTATTATTTCGGGGTTCATACTTTTTTTATTCAAATTTTTTTTTTGGGGGGGGGGGAGGGGGACATATTTTTTTTATTGATTTTTTTTCATAAATTTTTGGGTTTTTTTTTCCCAATATTTTTCCATTTTTACATTGATCATTTCTGATTTAAATAAAAAAGCAACAAATACTGGTATGGCAGGAGATATACATCAAATTTATTATATATAACAGATTAACTAAGTATTGTGCAACAGCACAGTATTGTGCAATAGCAAGAAATCTTCAATTGAAAATAAATACACAAATATTTTAACCAATTTCAGTGGGATTAATTTAAAGTCTAATTTTTGGGGTTCTAACCTTGTATTACTTATTTGAATATTGTGCCCCATTTTTAAATTGGTCTACATTTAGGTCCAAAGGGGTCCAAAATTAAACTTTGTTTGATTTCATCAAAAACTGAATAATTGTGGCTCTATGATATGCTGAATCTTATTGTGCATTTAGATTTTTTATTTTGGCCCTGTTTTCAAATTGTTCAATATTAAGGTTTGAAGGATCCAAAATTAAACTTTGTTTGATTTCAACTAAAATTAAATTTTTGGTGTTTTTTTATATGCTAAATCTAACCATGTTGTTAGATTTTGGATATCAGACCTTACTAGTTAAATTAAATGTCCCATTTCAAATTTTTAAGATCTTTGACCACATTTATTTTGTGTCAGAAACCTATATTATGTCAAAAATTTGATCACAATCCAAATTCAGACAGTATCAAGCTTGAATATTGTGTCAAAACTTGCCCTAACTGTTCAGGGTTCGTACTCAGTGGTCGTATCAGGCAAAGCATTTTATTGAATTTGCCTTGGAGTTCAGTATTTTTGTTATACTTTTTTATCTTTATTAAAAGATTATACCAGTATTTCAAAATAAGTTTCTATTTAGAACATTTAAAAAAAAAGTGAATTTCAGACATTAACTTACTTGACCAGTATACAAAGATATTAGGTGAGCAATACAGGCCTCTGGTTAAAAACATAAACAACTTTATGGACAGAGTATTTTCAAATATTATCACCATGAGCAGTTTTCCTAAAATTGCAGAACCATGTTTACAATACAATATGTAAAAAAAAATAGAAGCAACATGGTAAAAAAAAAGATAACTCCTTATATCATGGAACTGTATTAATCCAAACTCCTTAAAGTGATTACTGATATAGTATACTGTAATTTTGATAGGACATAAATGTAACAAACATGTATGTGGTAGCAATATAGATTCTGCAACTGCAACAAGTGTGTTACAATATTTCTCAACTCGAGACAGTTGAATTTTAATATTTGAAGCGCTAGGCTTGCCGAGCTTTTTCAGTAATTAAAATTTAACTGTTGAGAGTGGAGAAATATCGTAATACACAAGTTATAGTGGAGGAATCTGTTTCTCTAATTATTTTTAGCCTTCCTTTTCAAAGACTTGCAGAAAGTTGTGTTCTTTGTATGTGACGTCATCAGGCATGGTGGTCTTATTTCATGACGTCACAATGGGAAATTCAGAATAAAGCAAGAACATTTGACGTCATAATTTGATTACAACCAATCATTTGCTGAGAACAGATATTTCACTAGTGAGGAGAACAATTTTTTCACAATCGGTTGGGAAAAGTGAAAATAGTGAAAAAATTAGAGAAATAACATTTTTAAAACAGCATTCATATTTTTCAGGATTTTTTCAAATTGGTTATGGCAACATTAGATGTGTTTGTTGGAAACTTCACCATAATTGACTTTGAGCTGTATGATCTATGGCTTAATGGATTATCAGGTATAATTACACCTTATATAAGAATGCCGGATTTTGATTGGTTGTTAGCCAGTGTATTTTTTGCATATTCTAACATTTTTTCCTCATTTCAAACGAATTTGCCTGTTTTTTCACCACTGCCGGTGAATTTGCCTCAAATTCCCCTCTCTGCCGTGGTATTTGCCATTTTGGATATTCCTTTTTTACCCTCGCGAGCCTGTTCCCGCCAAAATTATTCGGAACCTTTCTCACTTTATCCCGACAACATGGTTAAGCACTATTAATTGAGTTAAACAGAAAACTATCAGAAATATACATATAAAGAGGGGAAAGACAAGTCTATACAAAATGATTTAATGATGGAATAACAATGACGTTTACACATATAGATACCATGACGTTACAAAAAGACTGCACTAACGCATATAAGTACATGTATAATACCCGCAGTACTAAGATTTCCCTTCACATGTACAGACAATTTCAATCAAAATCTATTCAGTGTAATTAAACAGATATATCATGTTATGGAGGGGTATTTGCGAAAAATACCAGTCTTGGGAAATTTCACCGTCCCTTGACTGGTATTTTTTGCAAATACCCCTGCATAACATGATATATCTGTTCAATATTGTATATAAAGAAAACATTTTCAGATGGGAGGAAAAACAAAACTTTTACAAAAATTTACAGTTTTTATGTTTTGGGAACTTACTTCTAACCTGATAAATAATTATGCTGCTCATTATCAATGTTTTTGGAATTAAAGTTTTAATTGGTAGATTTTATCCAGAATTATCCTATAATCATGATAATGCAACAAAATATTTGAATCAGTCCATTTCCTATCTTAACAATGTTGAAAGCTCCCTACTGAACAGAAGTCAAATATGTTACAGAAGCATACAAATAACTGTGATGTACAAACGAAATATAAGAGAAATAAACAGTGGTTGAAAATTTGTCTGTTCATTCAAGGGCCATTTCTAAGCATAGCTTAGGTCTTTGTACTGACGTATGTCTAGCATTTAAGCATGCATGGAATGGAAAGCGAATCTATACTTTTGTAAGCAAACAACAATCCATTGATGGATACTGATTTTATCCTTGCAAGTTTAAGTCAATATATGTAAATGAATCTAAATTCAGGGAGAGTAAGTTGAATCAAATTAGTTGATATTAGAGCCCCAACCACACTCTGATTTAAGTTTGCCTCATGCAAATTTTATGAAACTCATACACAATGCTAAGAACCAAAACTTGCAGACAGAGTTATGCCCCTTTATAACTTAGAAAATTGCATTTTTTTTTCATTTCAACACTTTATCTTATGTTTGCTTCATGCAAATTTTATGAAACTCATACACAATATTAAGAACCAAAACTTGCAGTTTATCAACTTAAGTGAATCAACTACAATCAATGCTTTATACAATGCAATGTTTAATTTTGACTTCCACTGATAAAACACAGATCAAGTTGAATTTGGGTAGTGTCACTTTAACCATTATTGAATTAGGCCCCTTTATAATTCGAAAGATTGCAAAATTTTTAGTTTCCATTCTGTAACTTAAGTTTGCCCCAACCAAACATTATGAAACCTATACACAATATTCATTACCACAAAACTAAGATCAAGTACAAATTTTTTGTTTCCTTTTTCTAACTTTATATAAAAAAGAAGATGTGGTATGATTGCCAATGAGACAACTCTCCACAAGAAATCAAATGACACAGAAATTAACAACTATAGGTCACCGTACGGCCTTCAACAATGAGCAAAGCCCATACTGCACAGTCAGCTATAAAAGGCCCCAAAATGACAATGTAAAACAATTCAAATGAGAAAAACTAACAGCCTAATTTATGTACAGAAAATGAACGAAAAACAAATATGTAACACATAAACAAACGACAACCACTGAATTACAGGCTCCTGACTTGGGACAGACACATACATACAGAATGTGGCGGGGTTAAACATGTTAGCGGGATCCCAACCCTCCCCCTAACCTGGGACAGTGGTGTAACAGTACAAAATAAGAACGAACTATAAAAATCAGTTGAAAGAGGCTTAACTCATAAGATTTGCCTCAACCAAATGTTATGAAACTTATACACAATGCTTATTACTACATAATACAGATTAAGTACGAAATTTGGTGGCGACACTTTTACCATTCTTGAGTTATGTCCCTTTATAAACATAAAAATTGCTTAATTTTTCGTTTCTTTTCTCTAACTTTAGTTTGTCTCAACCAAATGTTATAAAACTTATACACAACCATTCTAGAGTTATGCGTGTTTACAAAATAGAAAAATTGCTGAATTTTTAGTTTCTGTTCTCTACTTAAGTTAGCCTCAACCAAATGTTATGAGACTTACACACAATGCTTAGTACCACAAAACTCAGTTCAAGTTCAAATTTGGGTAGCGTCACTTTTATTTTTAATATTTTAGCCAAAATTTCAAAAATATTTTCAATTAAAAAAAATCAAATTAACAAATAGTGATTATTTAATGATCAAGTAGCCTTTTTGACTGTGTTGATAAAATTGACACTTAAATGTGTTTTTACAGGTGTTAATCATTACTTCAAATTTTACAACAAACAATAGGTGAGCTTGGGTAATTCCAATGAATTGTTTTGATTGGAATAATCAATAAATGTGTATACAATTTATTAAGTCTTCCAAACGAAGTTTGGGAAGACTTATTGGTTTTGCTCAGTTATTATTAATATTATTATTATTATTCCTCTTCTTCTTCTTCCGCTGCTTTTAAATTTGAACTTGTCCGCACCCGTTCTCCAAAACTGCTGGTCAGATTACTTAGGGTTCCACAATATGTTAGACTAACATGTATAGTGGTGCAATCAGGGTTTTGTTTGTGCAATGGGGTTTATAAAGGGGTACTTTGAGGGGCAAAAAGAAAGGAGGGTTTTACTATAGAACCCTATGGGATTTTATTTTTTTGAATTTTCAATTGATTATAAATTTAAAACCGTTTGTGATAGACACAATCTTTTTAATTGAAAATGTTCTAAATGATAAAGCACATTAAATGAATTACAGGGTTAGTCCCCAGGGGTCACCCCCACCCTGTGCCATTTAAGAAAGTTCTAATATGGTGTAAGTGGTCAAGATCCCCACCCCTAAACCATATATATTCTGGTTTGTCATGCTAAGATGGTTTGAATGATATACAGGGTTAGTCCCCAGGGGTCATCCCAACCCCTGCCATTTGAGAAAGTTCTAATATCTTGTAAGTGGTCAAGATCCCCACCCCTAAACCATATATATTCTGGTTTGTCATGCGAAGATGGTTTGAATGATATACAGGGTTAGTCCCAAGGGGTCAGCCCGACCCCCTGCCATTTGAGAAAGTTCTAATATCTTGTAAATGGTTAAGATCTCCACCCCTAAACCATATATATTCCTGTTCATCATGTCTCGAACATTTGAATGACATATAGGGTCCGTCCCCAGGGGTTCCCCCACACCCAATATTCTAATATCTTGTAAATAGTTGAGATCCCCACCCCTAAACCATATAAATTCCTGTTCCTCATGTCTCGAACGTTTGAATGACGTATAGGGTCAGTCCCCAGGGTTTCCCCACCCCAAATGTTCTAGTATATTGTAAATGGTCGAAATCCCCACCCCTAAACCATATATATTCTGGTTTGTCATGCCAAGATGATTTGAATGATATACAGGGTTAGTCCCCAGGCATAACTAATGCATATATAACTTTACTGGACCAAACCAATTTTCACTGGACTTTGCCCAATGTCAGGCCACCCTTGGAATTACGAATTATGGGAGCTTCGTTTGGGAGACTTCGTAACAGCATCCTGTTACAATCATTTTTTGTTTTTATGCCCTCGCCGTAGCAGAGGGGGCATTAAGTTTTACCCTTGGCCGTCTGTACGTCTGTCCGTACGTCCCAAAGTTGGTTTCCGTTCTCTAACTTTAGTTTGCCTCAACCAAATGTTATGAAACTTATACACACTGCTTATTACCACTAAATACAGATCAACTTTGAATTTTGGTGGTGTCACTTTTACCGTTCTAGAGTTATGCCCCTTTACAAATGGAAAAATTGCTAAATTTTTCGTTTCCGTTCTCTAACTTACGTTTGCCTCAACCAAATGTTATGAATCTTATACACAATGCTTATTACCACAATATACAGATCAAGTTTGAATTTTGGTGCCGTCACTTTTACTGTTCTAGAGTTATGCCCTTTTCAAATGGAAAAATTGTTGAATTTTTCATTTTTTTTTTCTAAATATCAAGTATTTTAAAATTGGAGTTATCTTTCTTCGTCCATGATTAAAGTTGAATCAACTACAATCAATGCTTTATACAATGCAATGTTTAATTTTGCCTTTCACTGATAAATTAAAGCAATTTTTACCCTTCATTTCTAAAAATATTTTAAAGTCTTCTTTGAAAATTGGAGTTATCTTTCTTTGTGCATAATGGTAGTTGAATCAACTACAACCAATGCTTTATACAATGCAATATTCAATTTTTACTTCCTACTGATAAATTAAAGCAATCTTTACCATTCAGTGCTTACAAGCACTTTCATTACTGTTCTAGAGTTATGCCCATTTACAAATAAAAAAATTGCTGAATTTTTGTATCCGTTCTCTAACTTGAGTTTGTCTTAAATTAATGTAATGAAATGTATGTATAATGCTTTTTACCACAAAACTCAGTTTAATTTTTTGTTTCCATTTTCTAACCAAATGTTATGAAACTTAGTATACACAATGCTTATTACAACATAATACAGATTAAGTACGAAATTTGGTGGCAACACTTTTACCATTCTTGAGTTATGTCCCTTTATAAACATAAAAATTGCTTAATTTTTGGTTTCCGTTTTCTAACTTTAGTTTGTCTCAACCAAATGTTATAAAACTTATACACAACCGTTCTAGAGTTATGCTTATTTACAAATAGAAAAATTGCTGAATTTTTAGTTTCTGTTCTCTACTTAAGTTAGCCTCAACCAAATGTTATGAGACTTACACACAATGCTTATTACCACAAAACTCAGATCAAGTTTAAATTTGGGGAGCACCATTTTTACCGTTCTTCAGTTATGTCCCTTTATAACTATATGATATGCAAGCTGGGGCATCATCTGTGTCCACATGTGGACACTATCCACATTTATTTATTATATACATGATTGTTAAATTTATATTTCTATACAAACATATTAAGAAAACACATGATAAAAAATAATGGAATTTTGTTATAAAAATTGTGATAAATAGTTGGTTCTAAATTCCATTATCATTTAAAGTTGAACATCAAATTCACTATATAGAGCAAAATTTGCACTTAACTTTAACAGTCCGAGAATTTTCTGCAACCCAAGGGAACAACAAAATATTTAAAAAACAGACATCTTATATCACAAGGACTCAATCTCAAAATGAAACTTTTGGAAAGGTAAATTCATGTAGTAAACTGTTAAAAAAAAGCCACACATTTACACCCTACATACCCTTAAGCATGAGTATACTGAAACTGAAATAATTAAATAGTTAATAGATCAATCTTCTTGAACCATGATCAATCATAGTAAACCATAGTTTGAGGATTTTTTTATTTATGCTTGTATATAAAAAACAATTTGCAAAAAAAATTTGCGGTCATATATTGCTATCATGTTGTCAGCGTCGTCTGAAGACATTTGGTTTCCGGACAATAACTTTAGTTTAAGTGTATGGATCTCTGTGAAATTTAATCAAAAGGTTCAATACCACAAAAGGAATGTTGGGGGTGATGGTCCCAACCGTTTAGGAATTAGGGGCCAAAAAGGGGACTGAAACAAGCATTTTTCTAGTTTCAGGACAATGACTTGTGTATACGTATTTTGAATCTTTGATTGCTCTGAAATTGTACCACAAGGTTCAATACCACAAGTAGAAGGTTTGGATTCTTTTTGGGGGTAATTGCCCAAACCGTTCAGGAATTAGGGGCCAAAAAGGGTCTTAAACAAGCATTTTTCTAGAAAAAAATTTTTGGGGGGGGCCAATTTTTTTGCCTCAAGATTAAAGAAATTAAAAAGAAAATTTCTTTAAATATTAATTTTTTTGGAGGGGGGTTAGAAATTTTTTTTTTTTTTTTTGGTGGGGTGGGTAAATTTTTTTTCCTCAAGATTTAAAAAATTGTCAATTTTCAAAAGAAAAATTGGGGGCACAATTTATTTTGCTAATTCTTTGTATATACAGTTTTACTAAGTATTGCGCAACAGCACAGTGTATTGCACAACAGCAAGAAATCTTCAATTGAATATACATTCAAATTATATAAACAATTTCAAGTTCTTTGACTACACTTATTCTGTGTCAGAATCCTATAATGTGTCAAATATTTAATTACAATCCAAATTCATACCTGTATCAAGCTTGAATATTGTGTCCATTTTTGCCCCAACTGTTCTGGGTTAGACCTCTGCGGTGGTATCCAGCTGCGTTCGGTGGAGCAGTTTGTTTGTATTGTAATCAATTACATTACGATTACTTGTAATCAGAAAATGCATGATTACTGGTTACATGTGATTACACTGTAAAATCTGATTATGATTACCCCATGTCTCTCATGTACACAGGAAATTACTTTTTGAAAGTAATATTGTTAGCTAGATGTATATATTTAATATGTTTGTATTATTTGGTGTAAATGCAAATTTAAATTTAGTATTTTAGGAATATCAACAATAGCTAAAGAAGTCTAGTATTGACTTGGAAAATTGGATATGAAACTTTTTCAAATTCTTTATTCTGACATCCCTTAGCCCCTTCTGCGTAACTGTGCAGCAGTTTATTTTCTTGTTCTTTCAATTTTCTTGATGTATTTATATGCAGGAGATCAACATTTGACGTATTTGCGACAATATATATTTTTACTTGCAAAAAAAAGTCACAAAAATAAACAAATAACTCGCAAATTTACAGTAATATTGACTGCATGACTTTGTAAATCTTGTCTAATTTATTCCACTTATATTCCACCAACAGTGGTACCAATAGATTTGTGAACACATGTATTATATTACTTACATTTGAAAATTAAGAATATTGTTGAATATTTCAATATACAAGTCTAACAGCTGGTGCAAAATAGAAATATTACCATAAAAATGTAAGAAAATTATGTTTTAGATAAATTCATTTTTTTTCACAGATGTGGATGCTGCTCATGTCTTACAGAAAGGAGAGTTACAACATTGTCCTTGGGTCACAATTGAGGACATTGTCAGTGAGGTTCATGACCATTACAGACTCTTTAACCATCTTGAGAAAATATTGAAAAATCCAACACACCTTGCAGACCAACAAATTCATCAAATTGATGCAGAGGCACAAACACTTCTTATTGAAAAGTAATTATCTTCTCTATACATTAAACAGGTTCTATTTGGACCATATATTGTACACACATATACAATTTTTCATAGCTGGGGCGACTTGATAAAATGTGAATTAATTTAAACAGGACAACAAACCTTCTGATTATGCCAAAAAACAATAAACCAAAATAAACAAATATGCTTGGATCAATTTTCATCAGAAATTATATTGGATTTGTGAAAGTAAGCTTCCTTTCTATTTTGATACTTTTTTGGTCTCTCCATACTAGAGTTGTTGGACTTCAACCTTCAGATTTAAGACACCCTGTCTTCTGCCATCTTGGATTATAGAATAACACAATACAAGCAGTCTAGATCTTTAATGAAATGTGCAAATTTTGAAAGAGGAATTTAATTCATTTGAAAAACTATGTGTATAAATATATTTTGATGACTGTGGTCGTATATTGGTATGACACATTGGTTTTCGCACTCTAACTTTAGTTTAAGTGAATGGATCTCTATGGAATTTTACCATAAAGTTCAATACCACAAAGGGGAGGTTGGGATTGATTTTGGTGGTTATGGTACCAACAGTTAAGGAATTAGGGGCCAAAAAGGGGCCATAAATAAGCATTTTTGTAACTTCCAGATATAACTTGTGTGTTAGTGTATGCATCTCTCTGACATTGTACTACACGGTTCCATATTACAAAGGGAATGCTGGGATTGATTTTGGGGGTAATTGCCTCAAAATTTTAGGAATTAGGGGCCAAAAAAGGGGCAAAAAAACAAGCATTTTTCTAGTTTCATGACAATAACTTGTGTGTAAGTGTATGGATCTTTCTGAAATTGTACTACAAGGTTCCATATCACAAAGGGAAAGCTGGAATTGAGTTTTGGGGTAATTACCCAAAACGTTTAGGAATAAGGGGCCAAAAAGGGGCCAAAAATAAGCATTTTTCTAGTTTCAAGACAATAACTTGTGTTCAAGTGTATGGATCTCTCTAAAATTGTACTGCAAGGTACCATACCACAAAGGGAAGGCTGGGATTGATTTTGGGGGTAATTGCCTCAAAACTTAAGGAATTAGGGGCCAAAAACAAGCATTTTTCTAGTTTCAGGACAATAACTTATGTGTAAGTCTATGGATCTTTATGAAATTGTACTACAAGGTTCCATATCACAAAGGGAAAGCTGGGTTTGAGTTTGGGGGTAATTGCCCTTAACATTTAGGAATTTTGGGCCAAAAAGGGGCCAAAAAACAAGCATTTTTCTAGTTTCCAGACAATAACTTGTGTTCAAGTGTATTGATCTCTCTGAAATTGTACTGCAAGGTACCATAACACAAAGGGAAGGCTGGGATTGAGTTTGGGGGTGATGAATCATAAGGGGGTTCAAAAATTTTGGGGGGGATTTTTTTTTCCTTTTTTTTCTTTAAAATTTTCCATTTTAAATTGGTTATTTCTGATGTATATATAAAAGCAAATAATAATGATATGGTTTGAATAGGTAAATTAAAAATTTTTAAGTTCTGTTTCATTTTGTGTCAGAAACCTATGCTGTGTCAAATATTTAATCACAATCCAAATTCTGTGCTGTATCAAGCTTGAATGTTGTGTCCATACTTGCCCCAACTGTTCAGGGTTCGACCTCTGCTGTCATATCAAGCTGCGCCCAGGGGAGCATTTTATTTCAAATACAGAATAATTTTGTTTGATTCAAATTTTCAACTTTGCCATATAAGGGGAGATAACTGGAAATCATGTTATTAGAGCCATTTTCTCATATTTTATCTTAAAATTCTATTGTTTAGTTTTCTTACCATCTTTTTTTATGATCTATACAAAATCTCTGATAATTTTTCACAACTTTAGACTTCTTTAGACCACTTTTTTTTTAATTATTTTTTGAAAAAGCATGATATAATGATTAAACCATTAAATTTGAGGCAATATGAGTGGTAGACGCCTATGGATACCCTCCTGCAAGTATTTCTTCAAGGTCATAATTACGGACTTCTGACGTAAGGTCTTCTACAACTTTCCATTTTATTCTTGCAACAATTTCAATATGCATTGACAGGTGTACATTGCACTCCTTTTCACAGCTGTTAATTCAACACTTAAAAGTAAAGCTTTTCAATGGAAGCCCATTGAATTGGATTTACCCCTTATAGTTTCCTATTACCTTGAAATATTGTACCCAAAGAAAAAGTTATTTTCCATTGAGTTTGAATTAAAAATTTGTTAATTTCTAAAACCATTAATTTCAATTAAAGATGATTTAAAAAAAAACAGGAAAAATGTAATCCATGAAGAAAGGTACTTCCACAAATTTGAGAAAAAATTTTGTACAAGGATTTCAACAAAAAGTTGATATATAGTATGATATGCTATTCCGAATTGATTCCCTTTAAAGTTTTCTGCCATTTTCAAAGGGGGTTACCGAAAATACACAAAAATTCAATGCTCAGACTTTAACAGAACTTTCAATCTATGGAGAACTCTTCTTGATTTTATTCCTGGTGTCAACATTTACCAAAATAGATATCCAATGGATATATATTCATATTGCCTTGTTTGCATCAGTATTAACTATTTGTTTCTGCACCTCAGACAAAAATGTGAAAGCAGGGCCCTTAGCCCTTACTAATATGCCAGTTTTGTGGTAAACAGTTTTCATTTGTCACAGAATGCAAGACATAGGGATCCTAACTTGTGATGGCTTTGGCTATTTACATAAAGCTGTATATTTCAGAAGGTAGATATACATTCATACTGCATATTTAGTATACAGATGCCTTCCATCAAACATATGTCCATTGTCCTTGACCTGATTTTCATGGCTGAGTGATTGCTTAAAAGTTTATGATGTAAAATTGTAATTGATGGGGTTAATAAAAGGATATAGCTGCTGTGAAAATTTGATATCATCACAGGTTAATAGCCTAGACCATCATACTTTATCCATTTTTTAAGTCAAATCTGCATGCAAATAGAACCAAGTATCTTAGGTCCGAGTACACAGTTATTTCATAGTGCATTTCTTTTAGACAATAAATGAAAATAAAAAAAATCCCACCTGCACTTTCTCAATGATAATTTTACAGTGTGTAGTACTACTTTTGGGACAAATTATATCAAAATTATAGAAAACTTCATTGGCTCTAACTCAAAATATGGACAATTTTATGTTAAGGGGTCTTGAAATCTTTTGACAGCTTCCGAAGTGCTAATTTTTAACCTTTTTCAGCTGGACTAAATCACTACTTTACTTTAAAATTCATGACCCAATTTTTTTTTCAGTGTAATTTCACCCCCCTACTTGCTATTTGAGGCATAAAACATGAAGAAATACATTTGGAAGAGGTATAAAAAAAATTGGCAAGTAACACACTGTCCACACTAGGGACTATATTCGTGGACAACGAAAATCAAATGACGATAACTGTGTACTCGGACCAAATACAATAAATTTTGCCTAAACCTTTATAATCAGGAGTTACTTGTTAAACAAAGATTATTAATTATGTAACTGTTATGTTTTAGATATTATCAGTTTGATGAAGTTGTCATCAGAGAAATTTTAGGAAAGAAATTATCTGGAAGAAATAGGAAAGATTTAGATGATGTCAGTGAAAAAACAAGAATGAGTATAAAAAAATGTAGAAGACAGGTAAATAAACTTTCAATGAGATTTTTCTTCTCAAGGAATTTCTTAAATATCTATCCTCTGTTTAATTATTCATGAACAAAGCTTCTCATAGTCATAAAAATTACAGCGATTAGATGTAAACTTTCATAAAGCAATCATTTCAAAACTAACACAAATATGTCCCAACTAAACTCAGAATCCTAGGTAGGCTCTTTATAAATGGGTTGCCTCAATCTGACAGAAATACAGATTTATGATTTTTTTGTAAAGATCTGACAATGTTCAGATTCTTCTTTCAATTTTGAAGACCTTTTCAAGACACTCTTGTTATGTCGTAATCCACTTAAAAACATTTGGAGGCATACATTCCAGTTGTTGAAAGAGAGTTTCTTAGTCATTGTGAGCAATAAGTAATCTTGGTATGGTCTTTAGATCAATTGTAGTGCAAACATATCTGATTTTTACTTTATTGCATTTATTTTAAAATTATATGTTGTCTTACTTCAGTTTGATAATTTGAAAAGAGTTTTTAAGACTGTAGAAGAAATGCTGGGATCCTTGGTAGACAATATAAAGACACACTACCAGATATCAGCTGATTTAGCAAGGTGATTGATTGTTGTAACACATTAAGTATCATTATAAATATGGTTGTTTATTTAAAATTTGGTCAATAGTTATGCTGATACTTATTATATTGGTGGATTTTTATGGGAATATACCCAGAGCATCCTGTATGATTTAATTTTTTTATTTGCTCATTAGGGAAATGGAACAAAGTTAGATTATGTCTGACATTTAAAATAAAAAAAATAGCTGAAAATACAAACCTAGATTTTGGGACCAGACATAGTTCTATCAGTCAAAGCTATATTTAACCTTACCTCTATTTTCTGCTATTTGTTACAGGAAGTATGCTGCTTTAGTATTTATTGCCAACAACAGATTTGAAACTGGAAAGAAGAAACTGAGCCAATACTCATTGCTTACATTTATAAAATGTGCAAATCAGATGATAGCAAACTGGTCATATAGTGCTGATGGTAACATTCAATTCTATAATCAGCATATTTAGCACTTCCTAAATATCTTACTTTTCTATATTCTGTCCACACTATTTCTTATATTTTTGGTTTAAATTACATCAAATTAAATTATTATTGATAACTGTCCCCTGCATAACGCGTTGGGGGGGACATGGAAATACCGGGTGTCCGTCCTTCTGGTCTTGTTAGCGCTCTCACAGGTACAATTCTTGCCAGATTTTTATAAAACTTATACTATAAGTTAATATCAGCAATATCTCGGACAAGTTCTATAATGTTGGACGATAGACTTTTTTAAAAAGAGTTATGCCCCTTGGAAACATTAAGTTTATGGAAAATGGCCTCGTTAGTGCTCTCACGGGTACAATTCTTGCCAGATTTTAATAAAACTTATACTATACTATAGGTTAATATCAGCAATATCTCGGAAAAGTTCTATAATGGTGGACGAACGACTTTTTTTTTACAGAGTTATGCCCATTGGAAATATAAAATATGTGCAACGCGGGGGACATTGGAACTCTGTTCTTTTACTTTTATATTATTCTATACCATGCTTTGCCTATTACATACATAACGTTATTTTCCGGAGATGAAAGTAATGAATACATGCAGTTAAATTAGATAGGTACAAAGAGAATCTAATAATTAATTTTTGTTTGCATATATAAAAATAAGAGCTGTGGTTTGATTGCCAATGATACAACTATCCACCAGAGTTTAAATGACGTTGATGTATTTCTCTTTTTCTTACCAGATTTATACTTTTCCTGACCGGTTGATTAATTTGATTTTTTTATAATCAATGTGTGGTTCGTTTGAACTTAGTTCTTCATTGGTCGAAATTCAATTATGATGTCAAATGTTCTTGCTGTTCTCTGAAATTCCTATTGTGACGTCATGAAAAAAAGGCAAATATGCCTGATGACGCCACAAAAAAAAAACGTATCTTTTTGTAGATTAGTGAAAATGTTTGTCAACATATCATCTAAAAATAATTAAGAGAAACAGATTCCACCTCCAAATCTTGTGTAATACCATAATTCTCGACTTGTGACAGTTAAGCTAGACAAGCCTCAGGTTTTAAAGTTGAACATTTAAATGTGTCAAGTAGAAAAATAGTGTGGATTTGTATATCGGGATCCAGTGGCAAATATATCATGCATTTTCAGGATCATTAAACTGGAATATGTGGTAGCATTTGAAGATGATTTAACAATGAAAAATTTTATACATTCTAAAATGTATGGATAATATGTATATATATAAATGTGCTACCTTATTTGTGTTTTAGAATGTAAAAGCCATCAAGATATGGATGTTGATTTAGATCGGAAATTTCTACAAGATCTGAGAGATTTAAAGCCTTTACTGGAAAAAGAAAGTATAGAAGAACACAGAAGGTTGGAGTTCTTATAATTTTTAACATCTGTTCAATATTGTAATCTCTATGGATGTGATAATATTCCATTTGTTTTGTGTAAGAAGTTTATTTGTCTTGCTTTTTACAAATTGGTACAAATATACCATCAGAGCTCAATAATTGTTAGGCCCTATAAACTAGTCAGTGTTTCAATTTAGTTATCACTTCACCCGTCTGTCTGCACTTCAATGTCGTAAAAAGTTATTTGATTTAAGTTTTTCTTCATCCACATACCCCTCTCCTTTGAGTAAAATTTTGGTTTCAAAGGGATATCTTTTGAATCATATGCCATGAATAACAATTTTGGGTTTAAAAAAGGCTCATATGACGAAAAAGACTATTAAAAAGGTCAAGGTCATAGCAGAAAATGGTAAAAATATTGAAATTGGGCCTCAATTGTTCATAAAGAAAATGAGAACTATGGATAGTTTGATCAGTAGGATGAAGGTCACATGCTTTAAGAGTAAAATTTTGGTATATACTTTGTTTCAAACAACATCTTTTGAGCTATAAATCTAATATTTATTCATTTCTTGTTTCTTCTTCTATATATACATAAAGATTTGCTGGACTATAATTGCTGCCATTGTGTTTATGATTTTTTAGTTTTAACAAAAACACTTTTATTTGAATCTTGAATTAAAAGTACAAAGGAGTAGGTCCGGTAAGGGCCGATTTTGGCCTCAAAACTCGGGTTCATCTGATGAAAGATTTTGGACACTTTTTAAACATTTAAGTGTCTACTTCAGTCGATTCAATTAGTTTATGTGAAAGATTTGAACTGATTTTGTCTTTAAAGACGCTCAAATTCAAGCTTAAATATGAAAAATCTATCAAATATGCCATAATATGTCACTTTTCAGATGGTTTTTGTCAAAAATGAAAGTGGCCGCACCCGTGTTCATTCTCAACCTTACTATATGTTATGTATTATCATCAAATACAACTTACATTTAAATATTAAGAATGAACACAAATGCGGCCACTTCCATTTCAAACGGAAACCGTCTAAAAATTAACCAAAATGCTAAAATTTCGAAGATTTCAGTAATTTAGCATGACTTAATGATGCTAGTACCCGATACATGTGCATTGTATTGTCAAAAACAGCCCATATTTATGTAACAGAAGTATTCTTCTTTCCAATAAATAGCTAAAAATTTACATTTTAACAATTTTGTAAAACTGCTATATTTTGGGGCCAAAAAGGGGTCTTACTGGGGTTACTCCTTTATAAATGAAAAAATAACATGAACTAAGGCTCTTATTGCATTATAACTTTTTAACATAGATTAAATGGGTAACTTTTGTTTTAGTTTTGTTCTGCAAGCATTGCGGTCTAGTATTTCAAGGAGGGCATTGCAAGATCTGGAAGATAACTTTAAGGTGAGATTTCTGGGATACAATTGATTAAATCAAAGTAAACAATTGTGAAACAAAATACATATGGCGCTGTATTGTTATCTTTTTTGAATAATAAGACATTTCAAGATATGTAATATTATTGTACAATTATCGTTGAATTATTATGAATCACTGGTGGAGTGGAAGAATTGTGTGGATAATTTAAAACCATATCTATGACTTAGTTTTCCATTTAGGTATGGTTTGTGAACCAAAAAAAAACAATGATATAGCACTATTAAATGATAACAAATTACTAGAAAAGGACACAACAAGATAACACATGTTATTAAAAAAAGTCAAAATGGATCAGAATAGTTTTAACAAAAACTAAGAAAACATGGTTTCAAATTTGTATGTTTCACCATTTCTAAACAACCACACATTATTAAACCGAATTGCACAAATCAGTAAAGCATCAACACCATGTTTATAGATGTTTAATGCATATAGTTAACATATCAATGAAATTTGTAAAAATAAAAACATTTCTGTACTCTCCTATAAACAAGAAATTTTTTTTTCCCCAGAATGTATCAAAGTCCATTATAAACATAGCAATGGGATTGAATCATAGCAGAGAAGTTAGGGATATTTTCATTGATATATATGAAAAGGTAAGACATCAAAAGAAAACAGCTAATGTCATTGTTTGAATTTCAGAATAATTGCTCATATGACTAGTCCTTTCATAGAAAAAAAAAAGAAAAAATTTCTAAACATACCCTCTGCCCTGTTCATGACAGTCAAAAATCTCTACCCTATGCTTGACAGTGAATTGTGTAAAATTTTCATCAAAAGTTATCAAATAAATTGTAGTTATTTATGGAAAAAGTAAACACATTAATATATTTGCTGTATGATTATTTTGACTATTTTTTTATTTTTGAAGAATGGACAAAAATGTGAGATTAATTATTTCGATTTCAGGAAAATCTGCATTAAGATATATGGATCATATTTCAGAAAGCGAGTTCTTATTATTGCGATACTCACCCAGAGGCTTTATTCGCATTGATAAAAACCTCACAATAATTTCTGAATTTACAGTATTTAAAAGAAACTATGAGTGTGACACATAGTGAAAAGAATTTTTTAATATATATGAGGGTTTCTTCTTTCTTCAAATGCAGGAACACTTGCATTCATTGCCTCAAATGCTTCACATGTATGCACACTGTACAAAAAGAAATATTTATAATGCTTTTCTTCAAGAAACTTGTCTGATACAGCACATAGATGTTGTAAAAGTGTCAGACTGGCCAATTATGTCATACAAAAATGAAATAAGGAGATGTTGGATGATTGCCTATGAGACAACTATCCACCAGCCACAAACGGATGAAGGTATAAACAGCTATAGAGCACTGTATGGCATATACATGTACCTTTCAAAAGGGTAGTGCAAAGGTTGAAAAAAAATTATCAAATAAAAACAATTTTGACCATGAATAGATCTTTATGTGTTTCATTTCACTTTTGAGTATTTTGTGTCTCTGGAAATTCTGAAAAGTCCTTGCATTTGAGGATATGTGCAACTATAAGTCCTATGTTGTGGTCAACTGTTTCAAAATACTTTTTTACAATTTATGATTCTGAATTCACATGTTGTTCTACACTGTGATATTTACATCTTAGTTTCATAAATAAGTAAATAGTGCGAAAAATATGCCTTGTAGAAAACACAGTACATGTATATCTGTAAATTAAAAATTATGTCGAAAGGCCTAGGTGGCTAAAGCAGCTGAACAACTTTTTTCTAGTGCAGATCAATCCAGCAGACTGGTAACGTGGAAATTGTGAGAGGGTTATTTTTGCATTTTACACTTTCACAAGAAGTGCACGAAAAACCTCCATGAACAGTTTGTTCAAATCAACAATATCAATTGTAAAGTGTGCACTGATTGCTAAATTTTGATTTATTGAAAATATCCATCTTTCTCCTTTTCTAACCCGATTTATACTTTTTCTGACTGGTTGATTATTGTCTCTCCTGTGACGACATAGGGATTACAATCCAGCGGGCGGCGATGTAAACTAATTGTATAAAGCCTTTATATTTCAGAATGAAGAAGACCTTGATGCTTCATATCTTGTATGCAGATACCTTGTGTTAGGAAGTTTCCATCTGTCATATGTCCATTGTCCTTGACCACACGATTCAGCAACTGCTTGAAACAAATTATGTTTTTTTTGTCATGTGAATTTCTCACTTATTATGAGTAATAGAATAACTATATTTGGTATATGGGTTCCTAGCAACATCTTATTGTCTGTCAGACAGGGTTCACCTGACCTTGACCTCATTTCATGGATCAGTGATCAAGGTTAAAGTTAGGTGATTAGGTCTGTTTCTCAGACTCTATAAGCAGTAGGTCCACTATATGTAGTGTATTGAATGATTACAAGGGATACTTGTTAGTCTGTTAGATTTTATCTGACCTTGACCTCATTTTCATGGTTTATTGGTCAATGTTAAAATTTTGTGTTTTGGTCTATTTTTCAAGTACTATAAGCAATAGGTCAACTATATTTCGTGTATGGAATGATTGTAATACGTACATGTTTGTCTAGCTGGTATCATTTGACCTTGAGCTCATTTTCATTGTTCATTAGTCAATGTTAAGTTTTTTGTGTTTTCATCTGTTTTTTAAACACTTTTAGCAATAGGTCAAATAGATTTGGTGTATGGAATAATTCTGAGGTGTACATGTCTGTCTGGCAGGTATCATATGACATTGACCTCATTTTCATGTTTCATTGGTCAATGTGAAAATTTTGTGTTTGGTCTGTTTTTCAAGTACTACATGTATAAGCAATAGGTCAACTATATTTTGTGTATGGAATGATTGTAATGTGTAAATGTTTGTCTACCTGATATCATTTGACCTTGACCTCATTTTCATGGCTCATTGGTCAATGTTTAGTTTTTTGTGTTTTGATCTGTTTTTGTCTCGCCTTGACTGAGTCAAAAAACGAGACAAAGGTATGCTGTTTCCGGCAGCGGTGGCGGCGGCGTCAACAATGTTTTAGTTTGTGATTAGGTCTAGTTCATGGTGAACCACTAGTGGTAGGTCAATGATATTTGGTGTGCAGTTGTATTAGCATTGGCACATCTCATTACCATGAAAATTATTTCGCCCCGCCCCCTCAGTCAAGGTCTATTGACTTTGAAACTTTGCTTAGTTTACATGTATTAGTTTGTGATTAGGTCAGTTTATGGGGAACCACTAGTGGTAGGTCAATGATATTTGGTATGCAGTTGTATTAGCATTGGCACATCTCATTGCCATGGAGATTATTTGGCCCCGCCCCCTCAGTCAAGGTCTATTGACTTTGAAACTTTGCTTAGTTTACATGTATTAGTTTGTGATTAGGTCAGTTTATGGGGAACCACTAGTGGTAGGTCAATGATATTTGGTATGCAATTGTATAAGCATTGGCATATCTCATTTCCATGGAGATTATTTGGCCCTTCCCCTCATTTATGGTCTATTGACTTTGAAACTTTTGCTTAGTTTTCATGTATTAGTTTGTGATTAGGTCAGTTTAAGGGGAACTGTTAGTGGTAGGTCAATGATAAATGGTATACAGTTGTATAAGCATTAGCACATCTCATTTTCATGGAGAATATTTGGTCCTTGCCCCTCAGTCATGGTTTATTGACTTTGAAACTTTTGCTTAGTTTACAAGTTACTGTTTGTGTTTAGGTTTGTTTAAAGGGAAAGACTTATGAAAAGTCAATGGTATTTGGTTTGCAGTTGTATTAGCATTTGCACATCTCATTTCCATGGAGATTGTTTAGCCCTGTACCTTCAGTCATGGTTCATTGACTTTGAATATTTGCATAACTTACATGTTAAAGTATTGCTATTTTAATTTCAACATTTGCATTATCAAAATAACAGATAGGCGAGACATATCTCTGTGTTAACAGTTTATTCAAATACTATTAGCAATAGGTCAGCTTTATTTGGTGTATGGAATAATTCTGAGGTGTACATGTCTGTCTTGCAGATATCATCTGACCTTGACCTCATTTTCATGGTTCATTGGTCAATGTTAAGTTTTTGTGTTTTGGTTTGTTTTTCAATGACCATAAGCAATAGGTCAACTATATTTGGTGTATTGAATAATTGTAAGGTGTACATGTCTGTCTGACAGGATTATCTGACATTGACCTCATTGTCATGGATCTTTAGAAATGTTAAGTTTATGTAATACTTGTAGTAAAACCTTTATCTTTAAGATTTTCAACATTCAATCAAGGTCAGTAAAGCTTGCGAGACATTTCCATGTGTGCTCTCTTGTTATTTTTGTGGTTGGTCTGATCTCTGTTCCTCATTAGTCAAAATTTAATTTTGACAAATTTTGACATCAAATGTTCTTGCTGTCCTCCGAAAATCCTATTGTAATGTCATGAAAAAAGGCAACCATGCCTGATGACATCACATAGATAAAAAAAGTTTGTCTATATATGGTCTAAAATTCATTAGAGATACAAATCTCCTGCAAATATGATATTTCTCCACTCAACTATAAGTAAAGATATTTAAAAAGCTCGGTAAGCCAAAATTTAAATTTAACTGCCTCGTGTGGAGAAATATGGTATCACACTTGATGCAATGGTACGATCTATATTTACAGCATTGCTATTTCTAGTCAATAATAGTTGAATAATCTGTATATGTTCTAGATTGTGGAACCTTGTCAACAAGCTAGATGGAGTAAGGAAGATTTGCAAAGTTTTGTTACTGTTTACCAAGCTACAGCTAAAGATATGGAATTAATGAAGTATGTTTAAACTCTTTTAAATAGGCTCAGACATCAATTGATATTTAAATTTTAAATTTTGGATTTACTTTTGTATAATTGGTAATAGATGAGTACCTAGTGTTAGAACAGAAAATATATCACTTTTCATGAAAAAGCAACAAAGGATATTTGAATAAAATAATATTGAAAGTCACCTTTCATTCATATGCCTGTATCCTGTATGTCTGTATTCGAAGGGCCAAGTGAGCTTTTCTCATCACTAGGCGTCCGACGTCGTCATCCGTCGATGTTAACTTTTACAAAAATATTCTCCTCTGAAACTGCTAGGCCAAATTTAACCAAACTTGGCCACAATCATCATTGGGGTATCTAGTTAAAAAAATTTGTCTGATGACCACGCCTGCCAACCAAGATGGCGGACATGGCTAAAAATAGAACATAGGGGTAAAATGCAAGTTTTGTCTATTATTTTGAAAACCCTAATAAATAAAGAAAATATGACAAAGCAAAAATGTTCAGAACGTTGAGCTTTACCAATTGTCCTTATACGTCAAAACTGTCAGACAACTTCTTGTAGGAGTTATTGCCCTTAAATGACAAATTTTATATTTTTTTTTGAAATTTTGCGTACTATTTTGAAAACTATAATAGATCAAGAAAAACTTAAAACGCAAAAATGATCAGCAAGACAAGTTTTACAAATAAGTCTGCATGTTTGAAATCGTCGGACAACTCCTTATTGGAGTTATTGCCCTTTAATGACAATTTTCCATTGTCTGTTAAATTTTACAAAAATCATCTCCTCTGAAACTTCTGGGCCAAATTTAACCAAACATTGCCACAATCATCATTGGGGTATCCAGTTTTAAGAATGTGTCTGGTAACTCTGCCTGACAAATAAGATGGCGACATAGCTAATAAAATGCTCCGCTGGGCGCAGCTTGATACGACTGCAGAGGTCGAACCCTGAACAGTTGGGGCAAGTATGGACACAACATTCAAGCTTGATACAGCACTGAATTTGGATTGTGATTAAATATTTGACACAGCACAGGTTTCTGACACAGAATGAATGTGGTCTAAGAACTTAAGAATTTTTAATTTACCTTTTCAAACCATATCATTATTATTTGCTTTTATATATAAATCAGAAATAACCAATTTAAAATGGAAAATTTGAAAGAAAAAAAAATCCCCCCCCCCAATTTTTTTATCCTCCTTATGATTCATCACCCCCAAACTCAATCCCAGCCTTCCCTTTGTGGTATGGTACCTGCAGTACAATTTCAGAGAGATCCATACACTTGAACACAAGATATTGTCTGGAAACTAGAAAAATGCTTGTTTTTTTGCCCCTTTTTGGCCCCAAATTCCTAAACGTTTAGGGCAATTACCCCCAAACTCAAACCCAGCCTTCCCTTTGTGATATGGAACCTTGTAGTACAATTTCATAAAGATCCATACACTAACAAGTTATTGTCCTGAAACTAGAAAAATTTGTTTTTTGCCCCTTTTTTGACCCCTAATTCCTAAAATTTTGAAGCAATTACCCCTAAAATCAATCCCAGCCTTCCCTTTGTGGTATGGTATCTTGCAGTACAATTTCAGAGAGATCCATACACTTGAACACAAGTTATTGTCTGGAAACTAGAAAAATGCTTATTTTTGGCCCCTTATTCCTAAACGTTTAGGGCAATTACCCCCCAAACTCAATTCCAGCTTTCCCTTTGTGATATAGAACCTTGTAGTACAATTTCAGAAAGATCCATACACTTACACATAAGTTATTGTCGTGAAAATAGAAAAATGCTTGTTTTTTGCCCCTTTTATGGCCCCTAATTCCTAATATTTTGAAGCAATTACCCCCAGAATCAATCCCAGCATTCCCTGTGTGATATGGAACCTTGTGGTATAATGTCAGAGAGATCCATACACTAACACACAAGTTATGTCTGGAAGTTACAAAAATGTTTATTTTTGGCCCCTTTTTGGCCCCTAATTCCTTAACTGTTGGTACCATAACCCCCAAAATCAATCCCAACCTTCCTGTTGTGGTATTGAACCTTTTGGTAAAATTTCATAGAGATCCATTCACTTAAACTAAAGTTAGAGTGCGAAAACCAATGTGTCTTCGGACGACGACTACAACGACGACACCAACGTCATACAAATATACGACCGCAAAAATTTTTTGCGGTCGTATAAAAATAGAACATAGGGGTAAAATGCAAGTTTTGTCTATTATTTTGAAACCGTTATAAATAGAGAAAATCTGACAAGAGCAAAAATGTTCACAACGTTGAGCTTTACCAATTGTCACTTAAGTCAAAACTGTTAGACCACTTCTTATAGGAGTTATTGCCCTTAAATGACAAATTTTACCATTTTTTTTTCATTTTTGCCTATTAACTTGAAAACTATAACAGATAGAGAAACTTTATATTGTAAAAATGATCAGCAAGACAAGTTCTACAAATAAGTCTCATGGTCGCAATCGTCAGTCGACTTCTTATTAGAGTTATTGCCCTTTGATGAAGATTTTTACCATTTTTTTGCGTTTTTGCCTTATAACTTAAAAATTATAATAGATAGATAGAAACTTAATAAGCAAAAATGATCAGCAAGACAAGATCTACAATAAAGCCAAATGGAGGAAATTGTTCGACAATTCCTTATTGGAGTTATTGCCCTTAATGACAATTTTTACCATTTTTTTTCGTTTTGCTGTATATGATAAAAAATTATAATAGATAAATAGACACTTTAAATCACAAAAATGATCAGCAAGTCAAGATCTACTAACAAGTCAAATTTTGCCCATATAGTTAGTAGACTGTCACTCTTTATAGGAGTGATTGCCCTTAAATGAGGATTTTTTTTACCCTCTTTTGTGTTTTGAGCAAAAACTAAAGAAGATAGAGAGAAACTAAACAGTTTTTTGTCATGAATTTATTCTGGTCTACAATTTTGGAGAGTTTCCTTTGTTGAATATGCACATAGACCAGGGTGAGCGACACAGGCTCTTTAGAGCCTCTAGTTTATGTTACAATATATCACAGTCTGTCTCTGTTATAAACATGCATATTCATAATTTGAGGGAAACTGTTCTGTAAAGAACAAAAATAATCAGCAAAATAAAAACTACAAATAAATTAACATGGCTGAAATCATCAATCAACTAAAAGGAGTTATTGGCCTTGAACGATAATTTTTTTGTTTTTGAAGGACTAATAGGAAATATGATATCATTTTTATCCAGTTATTGAGTTAACTGTATGGCCTATTTACAAGTTTTATTTCTTTTCTAGATATCAACCAGAATTACAGATTGTATGGGACAGATACATGAATACGATGAGTAATTGTATATTAGAACTGTTTCCATCCTGACATTGCTGATAACTATGTTATAAATATCTAGTCAAACACAAAATCATAAAAACTTGATGAACTATCAAGATAGTTGTAATTATACCCATACTGAACAGTTTAAGATGTAGCTTGGTGTGATGTAATTAGATTACTATGGTTGCTGCCTCATTACATTCCAAATATTCATAAACAAGATGGCAGCGAAGATCAACATATATATATCAGATATTTGATTGCATATTATGCCATTTTATTGCAATCAGTTAACAGTGTAACTTGAGACAAATTTTTTTTGTGAAAAATGTATATTAAATGTTTACAGTTATGACTGACATAAAGTCATTTTATAAGCTTAAATTTTTACTTGTAACTGTAGATAATAATAATAAAAAAAAATTTCTACTGAACTTATTCTGTTGAAATTTTGGCAAAGAAGCAACAAGGTTGTACTCAGCTTGCAATATGATGAATGCTGACGTCATCCATAAATACTATCTTACACAATTTGATTTGATAATGCCACCTTAATTGAAGAAATGACTTTGAGGTCACTAGGTCAAGGTCAATTTCACAACAGGGAATGCCAACATTTGATAGAGATAAATTGGGGCAAATCTTTTGTTTCTGTATGTAATTAGTCCCCTACCGACAAAGTCAAAGGGGACTTTAGGTTTGCACTCCATCTGTCCGTCTGTCCATCCATCAGTCCAGCAAATCAGTTTTCCACACTTTTTTTCTTCGCGCTTGAAGATATTGATTTGAAATTTGGTATATTGTTTTATTTTGACAAGTTACAGGACAAGTTCGAATTATGTTCCTGTCTGATTATTTTGTGCAGAGTTATGGTTCTTGGAATTCACTCAAATACTCAGTTTTCCACATTTTTTTTCCATCATGCTTGAAGATATTGACTTGATATTTGTTATATACACCATGACAAGTTATAGATCAAAATAGCATTTTGTTCCAGTACAATGAGTTCTTAACCAGTAGGGGACTATGTATTGCCATGCAATACTCTCAGAATGCTTGTTTCTTTTGAATTATATCCAAACTTATTTTGATACTGTCCCATGGGATAAAGAAGACCTTTATTGATTTTGAGGTCAGTAGGTCAAAGATCAAGTTCATAAAAGTAAGTGGTAGAATTTGGCAAAAATTCTAATTTCCAGATATCTTTTGTTCCATATGTCAAACCTTCACCAATCATAGATTGAAAATGTTCCTTAGAAAGAACAAGATTGCTGCTGATTTTTCAGTTAGTAGCTGAAAGGTCAAAGTTACAGTGCCCATAATGAGACAACTGTTTTTTCTAGACAATATTATTTGAAACATAATTCAGATATTTAACAAAACAATCTTTGATGGAAAGTGTGCCTTTGGATGGAAAAAAGACCACTAGTGATTTTGATAGCTAGGTCAAAAATCAAGGTTGAAGCATCAATTTATAAACAGAAATTAGGGCAAACTTGTTTTTCGGATATCATTTGAGCCATATGTCTTATTGTGACCAAACTCAGTTAAATATTGTCCTTGAAAAGATAGGACCCCTGTTGATTTTGTGGTCAGAAGGTCAAAGGTCAAGGTATATAGGGGTAAACTACAGTTTTTTGGCTCATTTCTCAAAATCTTAAGCATTTAGAGCAAATCTGAGGGCAAGATTGATCAACAGGTTAAGGACTGTCAATCAGAAATATTTAGAAAATTTAGACTCATTTTCAAGTTATTGCAACTGGAATATCTTATGAAGTTTCTCTGTTCTTTGTTATTAACTTGAAAACTATAAAAGATAGAGAAAAACTGTGAAGATAAAAATTACTAGAACAATAGGATCTACAAATAAGTCAAGACTGCAAAGACGTCAATTGATCCCTTACAGGAATTATTGCCCTTGCTAGATAATTTTAACTTATTTTGCAGAAACGATGATGGAGAGAAACTACAAGCAGCAAAAAAGTTCAGAACAATAAGATCTACAAATAAGTCAGCATGACTGAAATCATTTATTAACCCCTTATAGGAGTTATTGCCCCCAAAAGACAATTTTAACTCATTTTTTGCAAAAACTATGATAAGTTATAAAAAACTGTAAACAGTAAAAATTTTCAGCACTATAATATCTACAGATAGGTCATCATGTCTAAAATTGTCAATTGACCCCTTATAGGTGTAATTGTCCTTGAAAGACCATTTTTATCTTTCTTTTCTGCTTTTTCTGCAGAAACTATTAGAGATAGAGGAAACTGTTAATACAAAAATGTTCAGCACAATATAATCTATGCATGAGTCAATTGGCCAAAATCGTCAATTGATCCCTTATAGGAGCAATTGCCATTAATGGATTAAGTTTACCCATTTTTTGCTAAAACTAAATTATAGCAGAAAGAGATAATCTTGAAATAGTAAACATGTTCAGCAAAAAAACAATAAGTCAAAACAGCTGACATAGTCAACTTATTCATTATATGAGTTGTTGCCCTTGAAAGAAATTTTAACAATGTTTCGTTCTCAGCATGAGCTATAAATAAACTCATCATAGAAACCTTGATTAAAATTTTGTATACCAGATGCATGTTTCTTCTACAAAAGACTCATCAGTGGCGCTCGAATCAAAAAAGTGAAAAAGGCCAAATAAAGTACGAATTTGAAGAGCATAGAGGGGCTAGACCCAAAATTCTGAAAGGTTTTGCCAAATACAGCTAAGGTAATCTATTCCTAGGGTAGAAAATCCTTAGTATTTCGAAAATTCAAAGTTTTATTAACAATTAATTTATGATTATGACCATATCAATGATAATTCATGACTACTGGACTGGTGATACTCTTGGGAATAAACCTTTACCAAGCAGTGGCATTGACCCAGTGGTTGTAAATAAACTCACCATAGAGAGAAACTGTTAATAGCAAAAAATGTTCATCACAATCCGATCTACAAATTGGTCAACATCGCCGAAAACATCAATTGATTCCTTATACCAGTTATTGTCCTTGAGGGATGAATTTGTTCCCACTTTTTTTTTACATTATTTGCAGAAATGATAGCAAAACGAGGAAAACTTTTTAAAAATAGTAAAACTGATTAACAAAAAAAGATTTACAAATCAGTCAAAAGAATGACCCTTGAAAAATGAGTTTTACCCATTATCATTTTTTGCAGAAACTTCACAAAAAGTCACAGTTTTTACCCATTTACGTTTTAAACAAAAATTTCTTATAATCTTTAAAACTATTATGAATATACAGAAACTTAATCCAGCCAAAATTCAGATTTTGGTTGACATATTTTCCATTAAACACACATAATCTTGATGCATTGTATCAATTTAACTTTGATAACAATGCCAGTTGATCGATTCAGATTCCTGTGAGCCATTCGTTTAAGGTTTTTCCTCACGAAAATGTTACTTCTACTACAAGTCCATGAACTCATTGACTCTGAGACAAAACTGTCAATCAATGTTTCGTTTATGTTGAGTAGGGCCAAACAGATTGAAATAAACAAGGATCGTAGAATAATACATAAATAGGATAACAGGAATTACCAAAAGTATTATGCAGTGCAATAGACCAACACCAACTCCTCTGAAAACATACAAAGAAAGACACAAACACATGGTCCATATACCCTGATTTGGTATAGGCACAAACTTTGGGATTTAATGAGTTTATATTTGCACAAACCTAAACCATATTACATACAACAAACAGCCTGTACAGTCCAGCTACCAACAGTATGACCTCTAACTTGAATACAAAAATACGAAAATAAAAGAAGGGCACATCATTTGGAAAACAGTGTCCAAATGTGCTAGCTACTACAGGAACCTCGCTTTTCAGAACAGCTGTTGGTTGTATTTTATCATTAAAAAAACTCAAACATCACTTCTGACAGGTTTCATGAAATATCATCATAAATCGTATTTAAAAGGACAGTATTTGTTAGTGGCCAGTAAGTATTTATAAACTGTTAACACAGAGATATGTCTCGCCTTTTTAGCTCACCTGGCCCGAAGGGCCAAGTGAGCTTTTCTCATCACTTGGCGTCCCTCGTCGTCATCCGTCATCGTCGTTGTCGTTAACTTTTTACATTTTGAACTTCTTCTAGAGAACCACTGAATGGAATGAAACCAAACATGGCATGAATATTCCTTATGAGATGCTGACCAAGTGTTGTTACTTTGTAGCCGTTCCATCATTCAAGATGGCCGCCAGCAGGGGACTTCATTTAACAAAGGACCCTATGGACAATACATACAAATGTCTTTTTTTCGAGAACCACTGAAAAGAATGAAACCAAACATGGTATGAATGTTCCTCATGAGGTTCTGACCAAGAGTTGTAACTTTGCAGCCGATCCATCATCCAAGATGGCCGTCAGCGTGGGACTTCGTTTAACATAGAACCCTATGGACAATACATACAAATGTCTTCTTTTAGAGAACCACTGAATGGAATGAAACCAAACATGGCATGAATGTTCCTTATGAGGTGCTGACTGAGTATTCTTACTTTGAAGCTGATCCATCATCCAAGATGGCCGCCAGCGGGGGACTTAGTTTAACATAGGACCCTATGGGAAAAAAAACAAATGTCTTCTATTAGAGAACCACTGAATGGAATAAAATAAAACATGGTATGAATGTTCCTTATGAGGTGCTGACCAAGTGTTGTAACTTTGTAGCCGATCCATCATCCAAGATGGCAGCCAGAGAGGGAATTAGTTTAACATAGGACCCTATGGACAATACATACAAATGTCTTCTTTTAGAGAACCACTGAATGGAATGAAACCAAACATGGTATGAATGTTTCTTTTGAGGTGCTGACCAAGTGTTGTTACTTTGTAGCTGATTTGTCATCCAAGATGGATGCCAGCAGGGGGAGTAAGTTTAACATAGGACCCTATGGTAAATACATACAAATGTTTTCTTCTAGAGAACCACTGAATAGAATGAAATCAAACATGGCATGAATGTTCCTAATGAGGTGCTGACCAAGTGTTGTTACTTTGTAGCTGATTTGTCATCCAAGATGGATGCCAGCAGGGGGAGTAAGTTTAACATAGGACCCTATGGTAAATACATACAAATGTTTTCTTCTAGAGAACCACTGAATAGAATGAAATCAAACATGGCATGAATGTTCCTAATGAGGTGCTGACCAAGTGTTGTAACTTTGTAGCCGAACCATCATCCAAGGTGGCCGCCAGCAGGGGACTTAGTTCAACATAAGACCCTATGGGTAATACATGCAAATGCTTCTTCTAGAGGAGCACTGAATGGAAAGAAACTAAACATGGCACAAATTTTCCTTATGAGGGTCTGATGAAGACCTTAATACAAGTATCTTTAAAGATTGAGATCTACTGTAAACTGCAAAAATATCAAGAAAAGAAGATCTACACATGAGTCAACATGAGCAACATTGTCAATTGACATCTTGTTGGAGTTATTGTCCTTATAAAGTCATTTTCTACAATTTCAATGAATTTATTGGTAATTTCTGTAAACTTTACAAAAGTCTTCTGCTTTTGATTAAATTACAGGGCCAATATTAAACCAAATTTGGCCTCAATCATTATTATGGTATCTGTTATGATTTTAATCTATTTTTACATGATTTCCAAAACTAAAGTAGAATCAGGTGAGCGACACAGGCTCTTGAGAGCCTCTAGTTTGTTATTTTGATAGTAAAATGCAAATGTTGAAATTAAAATAGCAATACTTTAACATTTATAAGTTATGCAAAATATTCAAAGTCAATGAACCTTGACTGGGACTGAGGAGGTAGGGCCAAATAATCTCCATGGATATGAGATGTGCCATTACTAATACAACTGCATACCAAATATCATTGACCTACCATTAGTGGTTCCCCATAAACTGACCTAATCACAAACTAATACATGTAAACTAACCAAAAGTTTCAAAGTCAATAGACCATGGGTCTTCAACACAGCGAGAAAATCCCGCACCCTGTGGCAGGCTTCAGCTGGCCCCTACACAATAATGTATACTATAAAATTGAGAATGGAAATGGGGAATATGTCAAAGAGACAACAACCTGACCAAAGAGCAGACAACAGCTTAAGGCCTCCAATGGGTCTTTAACGCAGCGAGAAAATCCCGCACCCAGAGGTGGTCCTCAGCTGGCCCCTAAATAAAATTGTGTACTAGTTAGTGAAAATGGATGTCACAGTAAACTCCACTGTACCTTGTAATTATTTATTTTTAGCTTTTCTCATCACTTGGCGTCCGTCGTCTGTCGTCGTCGTTAACTTTTTACATTTTGAACTTCTTCTAGAGAACCACTGAATGGAATAAAACCAAACATGGCATGAATGTTCTTTATGAGGTGCTGACCAAGTGTTGTTACTTTGTAGCCGATCCATCATTCAAGATGGCCGCCAGCGGGGGACTTAGTTTAACATAGGACCCTATGGGAAATGCATACAAATGTCTTCTTTTAAAGAACCACTGAATGGAATGAAACCAAACATGGAATGAATGTTCCTTTTGAGGTGCTGACCAAGTGTTGTTACTTTTAAGCCGATCCATCATCCAAGATGGCCGCCAGCGGGGGACTTAGTTTAACATAGGACCCTATGGGAAATACATACGAATGTCTTCTTTTTGAGAACCACTGAATGGAATGAAACCAAACATAGCATGAATGTTCCTTATGAAGTAATGACCAAGTGTTATTACTTTGAAGCCGATCCATCATCCAAGATGGCCACCAGCTGGGGACAGTGTATAACATAGGACCCTATGGACAATACATACAAATGTCTCCTTTTACAGAACCACTGAATGGATTGAAACCAAACATGGCATGAATGTTCCTTATGAGGTGCTGACTAAGTGTTGCTACTTTGAAGCTGATCCTTCATCCACGATGGCCGCCAGCGGGGGGACTTCCTTTAACAAAAGACCCTATTGGAAATACTCACAAATGCTTCATGCTTCTTCTAGAGGTGCACTGAATGGAATGAAACCAAACATAGCATAAATGTTTCTTATGAGGTGCTGATGAAGTGTTGCTACTTTGTTGCTGATTTACTGTTCGAGATGGCCACCAGGATTTTTTTATTAAATTACAGGGCCAATATTAAACTAAATTTGGCCTCACTCATTATTAGGGTATCTGTTATGATTTTAATCTATTTTTACATGATTTCCAAAACCAAAGTAGAATCAGGTGAGCGACACAGGCTCTTGAGAGCCTCTAGTTTGTTATAAGGTCATAATTATAGGTCACAGTGCCTATGAAGAGACTGAAATTTTGGTGAAAGGGTTGTATTCCAACATCATCTTTTGAGTCATAAGTCAAACCTTTGCCAGTCTTGCTTAGTCTTTGTTGAATAATTCATCTTGGGGTAAAATGACCTACATTGGTTATGATGTCACTGGTCAAAGATAGTTTACAGCTGCAATTTAAACACTGAAATTTGGGTCAATCTTTGGTTTTTATATAAAATTTCCATGCATCCAATCAATACCAAAGTTCAGTAAGTTGAAGGTAAAGGTCATAACAGCCAGCTTTAGAGACTAATATTTGGGTTTCAAGGAATCGAGGCTTTTTCTTTTTTGTCTGTATAGTCCATGTCCCTAAACTCCAAGGTCCACAATTACCTTCATTTGGGGAAAAAAATCAGCAGATTTTACAATCTTCAACAGAAAACCCCCGAACAATAGAGTACCTGACACAAAAACAAACTGTTCCTTCTACTAAACCAATTAGATAGAAACTCTACTTCTGCTTTCATGTTGATTCTGTATTTTTTGTTTTTTAGCATTCCAAAAGAGCCAAAGTGGTTGCTCTTATCAGCTTACCACTAAACACTCTCTATTACTACGATTCCTGTGGCTATATCGTAAGAACTCAATGACAAACTCATCATAGATAACAGAATTAAATTGTGTACGCAAGACGCTAAGTACTAGTAACCAAAAGTAATGCTTCATGTAACGTCCCAACATGTTGGAACATAACGCTCTAGAGTGCAACTGCATATTGCCGATTAAAGTTTGTCGATGACAATATAATGGTATAGGAGTAGAAAGAAAAGGGGGCCAACTTCTGAAAGTGACAAACAAATAAAAAAAAAACCTATTATCTGTACTCTAGAAGTTAGTCAATGTCCACTTTCATTTTCATTTTTTATTTTCAGTATTTTTATTTTTTTTTTTGCCAAAAAGTGGGAAGGGCAATTGCCCGCTTGCCCCTACGCTAATGTAATATTTTTTCTGTCCATATGAAAGGTTTTGTTCTGATGTTTTGTTGTTAAAAGGTTTAATTACCCATTACTCATGTAGCTGAACTAGAAAAACATAAAACCTATTTGTTTGAAACTCCAATATTAGACATTGCATGAAGATGTCAACATTTTACACAATGAAATACTTAATGATTCTTCTTTCAAGAAAGGTCCGTTTTCCGACACATTGTTCAGACGGATATTGAAATTGTCCTGGTTATAATAAAATCTCTATTGATTTTATCAGGCTTCCTGTTAGTTAATTTCAGCATATTGTCCAATAGACCTTAATTGATAATCAATATTGGAACGAATATTTATTCGTTAAACAATCAAAATAAATTGCAAAAGTACTGGAATTTTAAGTTCGTGAACTTACAATCAACTTGAAACACCAATAGGTCATTTTTAGAACGCCAAAAAAGTGAGGTACCAGGACCCTTTAAGTTTTGGGAAATGTAATTAAAAGTTTAAGGTCAAGGAACAGGGCTATGTTACAGATTTTGGGAAAAATTTGCATACAATTTTGGATCGTTGAAATATATTTATCTCTTCTTTTTTTTTTTAAATATTACTGAATTAATTCTTTCAAAAAAGATGCAGATTTGTATAGAAAGCAAATAAATTCTCCGAAAACCCTGCATAGCTTTTATCTGTTATTCTTATAATAGTTTAGAACTTGAATTTGAACTCGCCGTTTCCATCTAAAATATTTGGATTTTCCAACTGAAAATCTCGTATGCTTGAATTGTACCACTGATTCTAGTTCCTTCATAATAACGTGAAAGTTTCATTTTTATTCCACGTTTAAGTAATCGAACAATTGTCATGTTTCTAAATAAACAGTCCAGCATTGTGCTGTCAACCGACTTTAGACCCTCGTTTTAATACAGTCAAATTGGGTTTATTATGATGTAATTCGTAAAATATTGAAAGAAGCGTGTTACCTCTTGCAACAGACATTTCTGCCAGTGATGGGTTACTGTAATTTTCAAATAAAATATCTTGTAGTGATCGCTGTATAGGATCGGCGTTATGTCATTACGATCTCTTTATCGGTTTCTCTGCGTCATTTATGTGCTGAAAACAGGTACATTTTCTTTCTGATTCGTTACCTTTATTGATCGATTCAAAATCGATAGGAATTGTTCAAATGTGAAGTCATCACGATTGATTCTGACGATTGTCATCTTACGCCAGCCAAATATTGTGCGCCGCAGTAAATAAACGGATAAATTTCATAAAGATAGTAGTAATAATATTTATGGAACTATTATAGTCATATGTTAAAAGTATAAATGAAAAGTATTATGAATATTAAATCCAGTTGACGTTATATGACAGTGATGAAATTGTTTTATAAAAATGTATCAGTTTCGCAACTTGATACATAAGAATTTCAAAATGACAGATTACCTAACAGGACTTATATCTTGGCTTTTATTTTCTGGTAAGATTTTAAAAAATATTACATACAAGTATTAACCATTGTTTTATAGGTCAAGACCAGTCCACTATAAGATCCAAATACAGAAATATTGTTGAGTGGGAAATTTTAGGTTAACTTTTTTCCGGCAAACTCGTTTTCCAGAATGTTTCTTCGCATCTTAACATTTGTGCACTGTTCTTGAACATACATTTTTGTATATTAAATTTTTTTCACCGGTAATTTTGTTACTTCCTACCTAACGAGGTCTTCAAAGAATAAAAGATATAAGACTGAATACCACATTTTTTTTCTTCTCCAAAATCTGCTTTTGGTTATTTTATTATATTCATGATAATCATGGACGTCACTTTCGAGAATTTAGTAAATGCAACAAATTCCAAGGAGTTTTGATGCTCTAGAATAAAATATATACTGAATAGCCGGCTTATAATACGCAAAGCAATGCAAACTGCTATTTTAAGTTACTTAGTAAGAAAGAAAATCCGCTTATATCGCAGCAATTGTGTGAACAATATGCATCTAACTTTTAAGGAGTTCATGTATTTGGACCACATGAACTAAAGGACAATACATTAGACTGACGACATAATTTTGCTTCCGTCTGTCTATTTGTTGCTTTTGATTAACATTGAATTGTCATCTACTAAACAGGGACAATCTGAATTCTAATTGGCAGTATTTGAATATCCTTTTATAGACATCATAAGGAATCAAAATCATGGTCATCTTTTTTTGAATACTCATATTATAGCTTTGCCTGGCTGTGTTTGGGAATCTGCTACGTCAAATTTTCCAGATTTCATTATGATGGTAAATCCAAGTATACTAGTAAACCTGTGCATATTTCTCAGTCACAACTATTAAACTTATACAAGGATGTAAACAAAGAAAAAGATACCGAGAAGGGAATTCAAGGCTAATAGAAAAAAAACTATAGCCGAAGAAAAACCGACCATCCGTGAAATGACCGATAAAGAAGGAAAAAAGGAACAAACAACGTTTAACAAAAATTACTCAGAAATACAAAGCTGGAGCAACACAAACCAAACCTAAAAAACGGGGGTGAACTCAGGTGCTCTAAATATAAACTTACAATCATAGTACATTTTTGTATTTACATTCCTATTTAGGGATAAAAACAGTGGCGAGTCAGCAATATTACTGGACGGTCTAACAATATGTAAATTATGTCTTGGTCAAATATTTGTCTTATTTCATGCATATGTCATTTCAAATTCATTACTTGGAGAGACTAAACTAGACTATTAAAACGAAAGAAATATCACTAAATGAAATTGACCACCGACTGTTTTGCTGCCATTTTTTTTATGCTAAACTCACAATTTACATGGTGGAGGTTTTGTATAACGTCTATTCTATACATTTCAGTGATTGAAGCGAAGTCAAATTCAACAGATTCGGTAAGTTTAACATATGTTTTATATCTACATTATATCACACCCCCACTAATAATAGACAAAGTCTTTTTTGATACGACTTATGAAGCAACTTTTTTGTCTTTCTTACCCTCCATTTCTGTTCAAAATATTCTTCATTGATTCATTTTAGATATAAATTCGCTTATGCATGGAGGAAATTAAATTAATTTCCAAACAATTTTAACAAATTTAACAGTTCCCAGCTCAAAAACATTTTTTTCTGAGAATTGTAATTTGGGACAAAACTTATATTTGGATCATTTCGATAATATGTTTTTTTTTCTGTTATATTCTATTATAGTTCCTGAATTAGAGACTGATAATTAAAATTTTCCTCGAATGAAATTGAAATATCATATATACGTGACTGTTTCTTTATTACACAAGACAACCACTCAACCTTGTCCATTTTATGAAAATATTTAGATATATATATACAAAAAGGTAAGGCCGATTTCACCTGAATTTATTTCTAAGGACTATTTTCTAATAGTCCTTTAATCTATTCTAAAATTCACAGTATCATAGATTCAAATTTTTACCTTAAAGTTTTAACATTTTTGAAAATGTGGCCAAATTATAAATGCGTAAAGATGGCACAAAACTGCAATTTTGACAAATCTGGGGAATTTCGAGTTTTATTTTTTTTTAATGTTTCAGAAGGACATTCTTTGCCAAAACCAAAATTCTATGGGAAGAAACGATATGCGTTGTCCATCTAAACATTAATTTATTTTGGTTAGAGACGGCTTTCGATGGATTTTTTTCTTCAAAAACACATATTTTCAATATTGTCTTCAACAGCAACATGTAGTGCTGAACAACTTTTCTATTTAATTGATATATGTAAATTGGACTTTCATGAAATATACTATATATTATATGCTTCTTCTCAAATTGAGCCCAACAATGTTATAAACATCTTGCGCAGACAGTATATCTTTCTTTCGAATGAAATATGTTATTGTGGTGTCGGATTTGGATTAACGATCTGCATATATACAAGAAGATACAAAATACTTGATAAATATTTTATGTGGTTTAAGAAATTCTATGACATTTCTGGCGAGTTTGTGAATTTGATACTCAAGATGTTAATACAATGTAACATATCAGTATCATTGATTTTCAATACGAAGTGTTTGAAATAGCTTTAACAGACTAACATGTCTTGTAAACGTCACAGAAATGTCTACGAATCAAATCTTGTTAGTATTACAAGAAAATTTAAATTAAACCAACGATTTCCTTTTTATATATATTTTCGAAATTAAATCTTGTGTTTTTGTTATCTACAGAACCGTGTTTTTTTAGGGTTAAGTGTTTTTTCCTGTACTGAATTTTATTGTACGTTCTTTCATGTACCTTTTGTAAGTCTACTGATCCGAGGTCAAAAAATGGATTGTTGTGACTTTGTCAATCGAACTAAATTATAGATCAGTGATGTAACTATACTTATAACAATAAGCAATTTTTGGTAGATTTGATTTTCTATCAGATTGAGATTTTTTAACACTAGTTTAACCCAGTCACATCAGTGGCGGATCCAGGGGGGGGGGGGGGGGGGGGGGGGGGTTCCGGGGGTTGGAACCCCCCTTTTTGGACGATCAATGCATTTGAATGGGGACATATAGTTGGAACCCCCCCCCCCCTTTTATCTTGGGTTAGGACCCCCCCCCCCCCTTTTTAATAAATGGCTGGATCCGCCCCTGCACATTGTGCCTGTATTAAATCAGGAACTTCGTTAGTGGTTGTATTTTATCACATCATAATCTTGTTTTCCTTTTGGGGATATGGTGTTGATTGTTAATCTTTGATATTCTCTGTTTATTCACTATTTTTCTGGATTCTGTAAGATTTCACGTCTGGCTCAATGTAATGTAAAAATACTTGTCTATTGTTGAATACTTTAAGTATAATACATAAAGGGAAAAGGAATAAAGCATTGGACAAGAATAAGAATAGAGGGGCTTTATATACACTACTGGTATTGTTAAATAGTATCGATGAAATCAAGAACACATTAGAGAAGTGAAAATAAGTTAAAATTAAGGAATCTTTAACAACAACAAAAACACAAAAGAAAACAACACAAAAAAAATTACAGAAAAAAGAGTGTCCATTCCCAAAGCGCCAGTAATTACATGCAGTAAAAGAGGATGTATTGTTTTGATTACAGGGTAGATTTGGAGGATTAACAGATGATATGATAAAAGGACTTTCTGCTGGATTTGGATTTTTCATAGCACTTATTTTTCTAATTTGTCTGGTATGGTACTGCTGTTGTGCAGAACCAAGTGATTCTGAAAACGTGAAATCTTATAATCAAAAATCAAATAATCAAAACAGTTCACAGACGAATCGACGACAGCATGTTTCAAGTACTAGTTCTTCAAGAACAGACGACAATAGAAACCAGAACAGACGAGTGTTTGCATAGTGCGATTTTCTTACTACTCGCTTATATGCTACTAATGCGGACTTGTGTAACAGGACCGCAAGCAATTCGTATATCCCTAAATATAAAGTATAACCTTATGTGTATATTGTATAAAATTTTGTATTGATAGTTCAAAATGCCTTAAGAACGAATGGCTTCTGTGTGATATGTTAGTTGTTAAATATATTTTGTGCTTCAGCATGAGTGAATCGTCTATGAAAATGTGTTATACAAATAATAAAAAAACCCGATGATTCATGCTATAACAACAAGTGATTCGGATACTCTATATATTTGGGATAACTAATGATACTAAGTGTTATAAAGGCCGATGAGAAGATTACAAGGATTTGTAATATCTGGAACACCGTTAACAAATTTTTTAAATGTATTTTTGCAACAAAATTAACAAAATTAAAAGTATGGCAATGTACAATGCCTTTTAAGACCAAATGACGTATAGGACAAAGCGACATATTTTCATCACTTTGCGTCGATCTTTCATCCGTCCATTATCAGACGATTAACCTTTTTCATCATCCAAACGAATAGGAATTATATTGAAGGTATTTCTTCTATAAAATATTCCTACTTTCTTTCCGATTGGATGAAAGATATGGTTACCGTAAATATGTTCTGATTGACCATTGTTTTGTCTCGCTTTTCCGGGCGCGTCAATAATTGGCTAATTTTGTGATAAGGTCAGTTTAAGAGGAACCAATAATGGCACATCAATGATGCTTGGTATACAGTTGTATAAATATGAACACATCTCATTTCCATGGAGATTATTTGGGCCCGCACCCTCAATCTTGATTTATTGACTTTAAAACAATTGCTTAGTTTAAATGATAATATTTGTGAATATTTTAAGGAGAAACACTAATGGTAAGTCAATGATATTTAACCCTTTACAAAAGATCCCAAAAGTTAATGCCATTGAGTGGGAGGCAAAGTCTGTGGCATTAGTGGCACACATTTCTTATGTAACCTTAAGGAAAATCACATTATCATCATCACCTTCTTAAAACTATTTGTCAAATATTAACTGCTGGATGAATGAATGTAAATCATTCTACAAATTATCTATATTTGATTCAGGACGAATAAAAAATATTTTCAACAAAGGTAATCTTTGATTGAGATAGTGCCAATTAAAAAAAATATAAACACTAAGGCGAAATGCTTGGAAATTTTTGAAATTTATGAAAATTTTAGTCGTCTGATTAGAAGCTAAAATGTTCAGAACTTATTTATTCTTTTAAAATTTTCAAATCTTGCTGGAACATTAACCGATAAGATGCTGATATATCAGAAACCAAGTGAGAGGTACAGGTTTCAAGGAGCATCTACTTTAATTTCTCCTTTCGTAAACAATATTTGTTAATTTGCAAATTGCAACATTCTGAAAATATTAAAATATACAATGCCTTTTTTTATTATTTTTGTTTTATTTCTACAAAATGAAACAAAGACTCGTTTGTATTGATATGTTTTACTTAAAATTACTAATGTAAACGTCGCAGTCATGCAAACACATGACCTGTTGGTGACCTTCTGCTGTTGTCTGTTCTATGGTCGGGTTGTTGTCTCTTTGACACATTCCCCATTTCCATTCTCAATTTTACATATAAACACAATTCAATCAAATGACTTATCTGGGAAGGCGGCTCAATAATCGCTTATATAAAATCAATTATAGGTTTCTCTGCTTAGAATTATACTAGTAATTCAAAAAAGTGGTCTAGTAACGATTGCTTTTCGCGTATTGAAGAGCTCACAGAAAACACAACCAATTGGGTAATTATTAAATTTGAAAAAATGTCACCACGTAAACCGTCGATTGAACGATTAATTATCCGATTAAATATCCAATGCACGGGTTTACAAATATTTCAATATCTTGATTTATTTATGGACCTAGAAATAAAAATCTAAAAGTACCATAAATCTACACAATAACATCTTTTGTATGTTTATAGGACATTAGTCTCACAGACATTAGTCTCACAAACATTAGTCTCACAGACATTCTCACAGACATTAGTCTCACAGACATTAGTCTCACATACATTCTCACAGACATTAGTCTCATAGATATTAGTCTCACAGACATTAGTCTCACATACATTCTAATAGACATTAGTCTAACAGACATTAGTCTCACAGACATTCTTACAGACATTAGTCTCACAGACATTCTCACAGACATTCTCACAGACATTAGTCTCACAGACATTCTCACAGATATTAGTCTCACAGATATTAGTCTCACAGACATTTTCACAGACATTAGTCTCACAGACATTCTCACAGACATTAGTCTCACAGATATTAGTCTCACAACAGACATTAGTCTCACAGACATTAGTCTCACAAACATTCTCACAGACATTAGTCTCACAGATATTAGTCTCACAACAGACATTAGTCTCAGAGACATTAGTCTCACAGACATTCTCACAGACATTAGTCTCACAGACATGTCTCACAGACATTAGTCTCACATACATTAGTCTAACAGAATTCTCACAGACATTAGTCTCACAGACATTAGTCTAACAGACATTCTCACAGACATACAGTTTTACATTTTAAAAGCATTCATCATATATAATTTCCATATTTTAATCTTGTCTATGGCAATTGAAGTCAAATGAATAACGAAGAAGAAAAAATATCAAATACATGATGAATTAAAACATAATGTCATGTCAAAACCTCATGTTTATTATTTGTTATTCGATGACGATTAATGTTATAGAATAGTATCAATTGAATAAAAATAAACAACACAAAAGACACATGTATTAAGATGTCAGAATATGGTCTTCGCCAGTCAGAAGCCTTTAATCCAGTGGTTATCGTCCGTTGCTGTATTCTTTTATTGTTTTCGTTTATTGCTTTCAGAATAAATTAGGCCGTTTGTTTACTCTTTTGAATGTGTTTCACATTTTTCATCTCACTGAGGGTATTTTATACCTTATAATACAGCATGGGTTTTGCGCATTGTTGAAGGCAGCAGTGTGATCTGTACTAGTGGTCCACATCCTTATCCTTTGGTGGAGGGATAGTTGGTTCCTTTGCAATCATTGTATATATTCAGTAGGTGTGAATGTACTAGAATTTATTATCTCAGTTTTGAGTATTTCAGTATAGTACTTACATCACACACCTACAGTGTTGTAGACTGCTTTGCCAGCAGAAGCATACACAAAACGTTTCAGAGAATTTACTTTGTTTAAAGTCAAGATATTGTTTTAGAACTCTGATTTTGTATTAAGTTACCTTTGAAATGTTTAATGTGATTATCAACAAGATTTATGCATTTGTGGTCAAGAAGAAAGTTAATGATTTTGTTATCAACTTCTCTTCTTCACTTAGATTTGCAGTAACAGGAAAATGATTCGCTGATGATTTTACGCATTCCATCTTGTAAATTTTAAATATTTAGAAGATAGACGATAGTTTGGTCCTTTCTAAAAAAAAAACCTCATAGTTTGGTCCTTTCTACAAAAAACCCTCATAACCTCATGCTGTTTGAGGTGTCATCCCCTCGAGTATCACCAAGTGGTCACCATTTCTGTGTTGACATGAATGGTCATTGATATGGTCATTATTATAAATTGAAATACAAGGATTTTGTATGAATTGATTGCCTTAGCTGTACTAAGTAAAACCTTTCGGAATTTCGAGTCTTCAATGTTTCATCTCCGTACTTTAGTTGGCCTTTTTAACTTTTTTTATTCGAGTGTCACTCATGAGTCTTTTGTAGACGAAACGCACGTCTGGCGTACCAAATTTTTAAGCGTGGTATCTATGATGCATGTGATGAGTTTTTTGGCATACAATGTTAATGTCTACTGTCAAAACGTTGACCACCAGGATCATTAAAAAAAAAGACAGACGACACAGTGGGGAAAAACAAATTTGAAAAAATCAAGTCACAAAACAAACATAAAAAATATAAATTGACCAGCACGAACCATCCAAAAACCGTAGGGGAACTCTGCAGGGAACCCAGATGCTCCAGAAGTTAAACAGTTCCTCGACCAAAAGTTGCATTAACATTGTATTGTTGCTTTCAACAAATAAAAATCGTGATATGGTACATTCGATGGTTTCATAAACGTATAAATGAAGAAAGGACTTGATGAAGACAATGTTGAGTTCCTGCAACATGTGTTTGTTACTGCTGGATTGTATATGCATTTATCGCACCAATACCTTTAGCGTGGAGAGGTGCACCAATGTAAAACCAGTACGTGTTAGTTATGTGGTATATTTTTTAGATGGTGCAAACTCGTATCGCATTGATATAGAAAATATTACCAGCATTATTATTAGGGAACGACCATTTAACCTTCATGGGGTTTCATTCAGAAGATTATTTTCGTACACAAACATCAAATTATTTATTTTTTTGTCGCGCGAAGCGGACATTTTTTTTGTAAGAACTAAATATTTTTCCTTAGCCTTTTCACCAGACTCAAGCTAGCAACCAATAAGACATCGAACAAATAAGAAAAAAAAAACGTCAAACTGATCTAACAACTAGATGTTATTTTTTTTGTCAATTACAAAATTAAAATATGATTTATTGTTGTTTAAAAGCAAACTTTACAATTCAATATAGGAGCTGAGGGTTATCCGTCAAGACAGCAACCCAACGACACAAACAACCAAAAGATATCTATGGGTTAACAAACTGTCATTAACAATAAACGGGTTTATATACTCTATGCCAAGCTCTAAATCCTAAAAAATCGTGAAAAAATGAGAAAAAAAGTAATAATTGCTTATAGTATCTGAGATACGGACTTGAACACGAAAACTTAACATTGGCCACCAATCCATTAAATGAGTTCAAGGTCAAGTGAACCCTGTCTGATGGACGTGTAGACCTTGCAAGGATCCCATATGCCAAATAAAGTTATCATATTACTCATAATAAGAAAGTATTTTACATGACAAAAAACATATAATTTTTTTTTCAAGCAGTCTCTGAACCATGATAATGAGGTCAAGGACAATAGACATATGACAGACGGAAACTTCGTAACATAAGAAGCATCCACGTATTCTACCTTCTGAAATATAAAACTTTATGACGTTGCACAGGATGTTGTTACGAATTCAATTTTGCCGTAGATTATCATGTCAGCTCGATAAAAATAAAGTGATTTTTGGTTGAATTGAGTTCAGTAAGGTTGAAAATAAAGAAAAATAGGAACCGAGATTTAAAATACCAAAAATTATAACACTTAATTATCCCATTTTTACTACAAAACGTAATGTTCAACGTTACATTTTGTGCGCAAAAGATCATAGTTCTGTGTCTTTCATATCGTATTTTTTCCCGATCAACGTAAAACTTGACAAGAATATTGCCTTTGTTGCAGTTATTTGCATGTTAAGGCAAAATCAATATCACTGAAACCGTATACCGGAAAATGTCACATTTGAAAACGGTAAGCATATATTGGGTTCGTACATTTATATCGTGAAATTGGAAAAGCTGTGAGGTAAAATATTTATACTTTAAAAAGTTCATTTACTTTATTCCTGGTTCACGATATTTTCTTGCCGGGAACATGAGTATAGTCACTACCGCAATGACTACAAAAAGTATAGCCATCTTGTCACAACGGAAAAAATGTTATATTTTATTTTCAATTGAGGTTTTTACCGGCTGTATACCAAATAAGCATGGTAAGATCATATAGAAAATACAATTCTACAGGTTTGAAATTGTCAAAAGAAAAAAAGTATAATATTATCGTTGATTAAAAAAAGAAAAAAATGAGAAAAAACATTGTCGGTAAAATTATAACAAACAAAGCCTTTTCACCGGGCGTATTGCATTTCCGCTAATTTTTCAAAGTTCCAATACTACGTTTCCGGAAACTTAAAGTATACGTTTCCAGAAATTGTATTTATTACTTTTCCGGAAATTTACCTGTTAGTACATTATTAATATTTGAATATATGTTAGATAAATTATTTATTTCATATTTTTATACAAAAAAGGTTCTGATCTTATATCTACAATACACTAGATATAAAAAAATGAAAGTGTCACCTTAGTGAAAGATGATGATGTCGGAATCGTTATATTTTTATGTTTCACCAACTTGAAATGTCTATGATCGTCTATGTAATGAAAAAAACTGATATTTTCACAGATGGCACAGTTGAATATTCGATACATGGGTGTTAAATGGTAACTTCATTCCTCTTGTGTTTGCGTTACTTCCACTTTTTATCAAAATGTGGGACTCTGCTTATTGATGTGTGCGCTACCCGAAGACTAACTCTCCAGCCCAAGGTAGATCATATTGACTTTGACTTGTCAATGCATACTGCTGTTACAAAAATTTCATGCTGCTACAATCAGTTGTTGCAGGTTTCATTTAGGACAAAGTTCAAGGTACTCCTTAATTATTTTCTCGAAAAAGTAATAATTTAATTTTTCCGGTATATCGTTACTATTTTCTCGGAAAAGTAAGGTATTTATTTCCGGAAACGTAGACTTTTTTTTGCGGAAACGTCATCTTTTTTCCCGGAAAAGTAATGCCAATTTGCGGAAACGTAAAACGCCGTATTCACCAGACTCAAGCTAGCAACCAATAAGACATCGAACAATAAGAAAAAAAACGTCAAACTTATCTAGCAACTAGATGTTATTTTTTTTTTGTCAATTACAAAATTAAAATATGATTTATTGTTGTTTAAAAGCAAACTTTACAATTGAATATAGGAGCTGAGGGTTATCTAAAACAAATTTAGCATTACATAATGCCACAAAAATACGGAAATGAGAATAACATGACTCCCATATTTTTAACTACCCAAGATCTTTTGCGATAAAGAAAGCATCGGGAAATGATAAAACATAGAAATGAAAGGAAACTGAAAGAAATGCATTGAAAGAAGTAATATATAACAAAAAGTAGTGAAGATAAATTCAATATCTAATTTATATTAAAAAAAGTTCTGTGTAAATTTGGAAATAAGTGTATGCATTATTTAATGCGGACTGCTGGCAAAAGGAAAATTTTCAATTATGGACCTGAAAGACTGACAATTCCTGGGAATGAATATTCATTTAAAAATATGTATGCGACCACTTTGAGTTTTATTTGTAAAAACTGCATTTTTCGACAAACCGATTTCAGGTTACCAATTTCATTACAGTTAATTAAGCTTATCAAATATAAGCTTAAACGCTTGGAACGTTCTTTGCAATACGTCAAAATCGTCTTGTTCTAGGGAACGTCGTGTAACGCTCACTAGTATCAACATCGTGCGCAACGTCCATGCATAAAAACAGAAGACAATTCAATAACATGAAATGTCTTTTAAATCTGGTGACAATCATTTCCAGTAGGAAGACGATATGCAATACATTTTCACAAAGACAAAATGGATTAATTATTTGTTTATTTAATACAACATAACATCTTTGACAGTCGTGCCTCTTCAATTGGATTTTCAATTTTTTTAATTTCTT